AATGTCCAATCAGATGGCTGATTTAGCATCATGTGGGTCTCTTGTTTGGGTTGCCAGTTTCTTTGGTGAAATCCAGCTTGACTTGTGAAAGAATCAGAACTGGAGGACGACATATTGTTTAACGTTATAAGATCCCAAACCACGGTTCCTTTAAGCCAGCCATTACTTAAAGGACAACTCACCCTCAAATCCACTTTTTTCTGCTGATAAACGATTTAAATGAGTGTCCAATAGTGTTGTGTACATATCCTGGTCATAGTTTTTTCACTTTGGTGCAAATTAGTTGAAAGTTAAACTTTCTGCCTAAAACCGTCTGTGAGGCGCCATCTGCTGGCGACCTGTATTTACTACATTTGAATTTTGAATCTGGCGCCAACACTGGCACAGAAGTTGGACCTGACGTCTGCAAGTTGGACCTGACGTCAGCAGCCCCCCGCCCAGAGCGATATAAACGGCCCAGTCTCGTTCACGCCCCCTTCAGTCCTCCAGGCTACGCCCATTTAGAGGAAGATTTGAACAGGAAATGTGAGTGACATAAGCTCCGAGGAGCGGGGGTGAGAACCACTTTAACTGTTAGAAAAAAATAACAGGGTGGGTAAAAAAAGAGTCAAGAATGCACACGGGAATGAGTGATCAGCCCAAACTCTTTTTGAAAGTTTGGATGGACGAGACAGATATATTTCTTTGCCTCTCAATCCCAACCTCACCCTTACATATCCTTAAATAAACCGCTCCTCTCCCTCAGACTAATTGACACATGGGCAAAATAAAATAGGGCCAGTGTTGGATTAGAGTTTAGACTTGGGGCTAAATCCGTGCGTCTGGTCTGTGCAAAAGGACTCACACACACACACACATGCACACCAACACACACATACAGGCACACAGAAAAATGAGACCGCGGCCTCCCCTGAGCGCTAATCAGAATATGCCTAATGATATCTGAAGGCTCTAAGCTCCAAATATATATATACTTTATTAAATACTTCATTAAAAGAGAAGAGGGAATTGTGTCATTATGCGGAAAAAACAGTACGTTCTCAGCTCTACGGTAACAAGAGCGGTGTCTGACCCGATACTCCAATGCTCTGGTCTCCTCTCTCTGAAGATCTGATGTGGTCAGAACTGCCATGGACGAGATTCAAGTCTGGATTAATAACTATACCAGAGCTGCAGTCGACAAAACACACCGTTTTGATCATTTTTTTCAATCTTGTTTTAGCTTTGTACTTATCTTGTGCTCTCTGGGGGCTTTCACAAATGTATTCCAATGTGTATTCCAAGGTTTTACTGCAAATGGCAAAGAAAAATGAATCTGAATGTGAATTGGTCGACAAAAATGTGGCTTTGGCAAATGCTCTAAAAATGACTTAATTATCTGGCACAAACCGTACTCTAGAGCAGTGGTTCCCAAAGTGGGGGTCCCGACCCCCCGGGGGGTCGCAAGATGATGAGATGAAATTAATAGCCCTTAAATATTTATTTTGCATTTGATTTGATTCAAAAGGGTTACTTGTTAAATTGTGTTAGGAGAAAATAATATATTTTAATTACGTTAATTACGTTGTCCCAGTCATTGACAGCGTCAATCAAAATTAAGTTACGCAGCTCACATCATACAGCGACAAAGCGTGTCCTGCTGCTGTTTGCTAAAACTAAAGGTGTTTGGAGGCTACAAACACATAATACCTGCTTTAAAATGAAACGTGGTTAATATCCACAACAGAAAAACCTGGAGGGGGAGAACAGTCAAGGTTAGGTCAGGCTGATGGTGCGAAGAGAGGGAGAGAGGGCAGTGGAGGGAGAGAGGGCAGAGGTAGAACAGCGCGGTAAAGAGGCCCGGCTTTTCGGAGTCAGTGGTAAAGAGGTCCGCACATTAAAAGCGGGTGGCCGGTTTATGCTGTTACTTACAGTAACTTTGGAAAAAGAAGCCGCGGGGATGAACCGCATGAAGTAACAGCAGAAAGCGGCCGCCCGCTTTTAATGTGCCGACCTCTTTACCGCTGGGTCAGGGCCACTTTACCGCGGTACAAGAACAGACAGGGCGAGCCGCAAGAAATGCGCTCCACTTCTGCTGAGGAGGGAGCCCACCAAGCCCATCACTGTGTCACTACGTGAGTAAAAATACGCAAGCCTCCTTTTTTGGGCTGGACAGTGCAGCTCAGTAGTGGCGCGAGTCTCTGCGTTACTCCGTATCAAGGAAATACATGCTCATTGACGGGAAGGACTGTTGAGGTGGGGGGTCGCGGGGGAGCAGCGCATTTATGATGGGGGTCGCGGGCTAAAAACTTTGGGAACCCCTGCTCTAGAGAAGCTAGATGTAATGAAAAGAACAATAATTTAGGCAAAAATCAGAGAAATATTAAAGGTGATATCAGCAACTTCAACTGATGGAATGTGTATTACTGACCACAGACTATACTATCATGCACAGAACCCCTGTTTCTGTAAAGTTTTGTGAACAAATCAGACCATAAAATATTTCCTTTATCCTATGAAAAGAATAATGTATTTTACATACTGAAAGCTGATTGGCTGAGAATAATATGATAATAATGCACTGGTTTCATATACAACTTTTTTGGACACTCAAAGACACTTCACATGTCATTATTCTTTCACTCTATACACAGTGGTGATAAACTACTAATTTGGCCACAGCTGCCCTGGGGCACACTGACAGATGTGAGGCAACCAGTATGTGAAAAAATGGAGATGACTCTGCACAGCTTTTGAGATTTCAATTATCACCACTACTACTCAGACTTGGATGTGCGTGTCAAACTCTCTCAAGGCAACCAGTATGTGCCATCAACCCCTCCGACCACCACCAACCATTCACACACACACACACACACATACACACACCAGACTCATACTATGCAATGTGGGGGAAGTGTCTTGCCTAAAGACACAACACCAGTTTGGCCCTTTACAGCTGCAGCCGCCTGATACTCTTATTATCAATGAAAAAGATGACCTAAAGATGTGACCCAGACCAAAATGTATGTGTCTGAAGACTGGTGAGAGCTAGGGAAATATGTACTTACAGGGAAGTCAATTGTTGTGGTTTCAAAGTTAAGTACTTCTGCTTTAGTTCAATAATACTTTTTATCAAACAAACAAGGACCTGCTCAAACATCCCATAGGCTGTGCGAACACATAATTAACATTCCAGCCAGTGTCCTTTTTTTTATTTTTATCTCCTTTTACAGTCCAGGTCTATGGGCCATGCAGCGATGGAGACCTCAGACCCAGACCTGAAGGACAGACGGGCTCCATACTGTGAGTCTGTCCAGCTTGGCTATTATTATCCCCTCTCTCTCTCTCTTTTCCACTGGGCCGATGAAGGACGACTCTGCGTTCACTGATAATGACAGCATGAACCCCACTGGTGCATGTCGCCAAAGACACAGAGAAATAAATCCTCTTTTCATAAGTAATGCCCAATGTCATACAGCTGTCCTTTCCATGGCTGCTGCGTGTGAGAGCTCGCACAAGTCCAGGGAGATCATCTACGCCCGCGGATTTATTTCTCTACACACTGGAAATGGAACAGGCCTATGTAGTTATTTCATCAGCTCCATTTTTATGTTTTTTTTTGTGTATGAAATAAATGGGAGCATCAGATTTTTTTTTATAAGCGCAAAAAACAAGCACAACAAAACCCTTGAAAAAAGGTGCAGCTGGGCATATACAACTTTAAAACCAAATTACAAAAGGTACATTATATTATCAAACTGGTCCAATTTGGCAAGTTGGCAAAATCATGAGATGCCAACTCATTTGCAAATGGTAAACATGGAGCAATGTGCCCAAATGTTTTGACAAGCTTCATTTGTTTAACAAATTACCAAAAGAATCTGCTTTATAAGAATATCATATCTGTCCATCTTCATGTCACTATAAACAAACTATAAAAAAAGATTGATTTCCAGTTTATTAGGTGAAATCTAGCTTTGATCTCAGCAACTGGTAAGACACCTGCAACAAAGATTGTAAGAGAAGTAGAGCGCTAAGAAGGGTCATAAAGTTTAATTAAATTATGGATGAAATCAATTCTGATGAATAAAGTTATCACTGAAATGTGAGGTGGGATGAAGTGCCCTGACACAGAATACCAGGTTAAAGTTAAGGTGCAATTATATCCAAATAGGGCAACATCTCCCCAGCGGGTGGGTCTTGCTTAAAGACACAATGGTGCACCGACAGGGATTCCAGGATTTTTAAAACAGTTGGGAGAGCCGTACGTCTTCATATTTTGCCCATCTGACGGAAGACCACATTCTATAACTTTTGATTATATGTGAAGTTATGAATGTGTCCGTTTCCATAAGTAGATCAATTATTGAACAATACCAGAGTTGATAGCTGCAACCAGAATTTAATATTCACAGAATACATATAGTTTTATATTGGCCATGACACTGTTACATATTTCATGTCTGAAGTTGATTAAAAGCTTTTCAAGAGGTTTTGCAGAATACAGAAATAACAATGATGTCGAACAAATTTTTTATTTTAAGAGACGCACAATTGAAAAAATAAAATGTAAAATCTAAGCAAGTATTAAATAAAAGCATTACCATTATTAATACAAAATGTGTGATCAAGCGGATTAGTGTGACTCTGAACTGAATCTCTCCTTACAACAAGTCCTGTGTAAAAGACATGTTTGTATACAGGACTTCAGGTATCAATGACTGCATGTTCATTTTCAGGGACTAGAGGTGTAAATTAGCACTGCTGCTACAACCTGGTGCAATGCATCTCTCCTTCTGGCTAATGTTTATTGTACACTGTCCCTGTAAAAATAAAAACCATACCATACCATACCAATTAATGACCTCCCCTTAAAATTAATGCCTAGGGAGTGGCCCACAGCAATATATTATGGTCACACGATTACTGTTAAAAAGGGAAATGTATTTGATGACAAACTGTTTAAAACAACACAAACATGTATTATAATGTCACAATTTAAAATAATGAGAATAATTTCAAACATCTAAATGAATCCTCTGGTGGCGCTTCAGGTTGCAGTTCTGAGTGAAGCGTTTCCCACAGGACACACAGCTGTACGGCCGCTCTCCGGTGTGCACGCGGCGGTGGGCCTTCAGGTTGCTCAGTTTGGTGAAAGTTCGTCCACAGAGCGAGCAGCAGAAAGGCCGCTCCCCGGTGTGCGTCAGGAGGTGGGACTTCAGGTTACTGGGATGAGGGAAACATTTTCCGCACTGTCCACAACGAAATATCGGCTTGGGATCCAGGTTTGAGTTGAAATTAAGAGAAGCGTTTGTGTGAAGAGAATTTGAAGTCTGTTTGCTCCAGGGGGAGCCACTGTGGTTAAGAGCATGTTTGTTGCCTACATGAGCTCTCTGTGCAGACAGGGATAAAGAGGGAGGGCCCTGAGAATGAGATGCACTCACTGAGGAGGAGCCACAGTTAGTCTGAAGGCCTGAGGGCCTTTTAAATGGACGCTGAAGCAGATTCGATCTGAAACTTGAATTCCCTTTAGACTTTAAAACCTGCATAAAATGCTTTTGGGAAATGCGGTTCTGTTTAGGAGTTCCAGTCCTGACGAAAGAGATGGACATGGCTTTGTTTACGTTGTTTACGATGTGCGTTTGCGACTGCTCAGAATCTCCAGTGACCTCCTGTTTTATCTTTACACCAAATATATTACAGGTCGGTGAACCAGGGGTAATCCTTGCATTAGACTCCAACTTATTGGATGTTTTTTCAGAGGTTTTGGATTCACAATCAGTTTCAGACACTGAAGGCATGTCAGGCCAGTTTGTATTGTTATCCAAAGCTTTACTGTGTGTAGCATCATTGTTAGTGTTGTGTTGCTCATAAGAAATCACATATGAAGCAGATATTCGTGGGTCCATGTTTTGTGGAACAATGTTCCGCAGTAACTCATTATGGTTGTCTGGTTCCTCAGTCCTTGAACTTGCATTTTGACATTTAGATGGTGCCTCGTCTAAAACACAACATAAAAGTATATTTATGTATATCCATTGTGCTACATATCATATACAAATTATGCAAATACTCACCAGGTGGGACTCTCCATGTATCCAAATTCAAAGACGAACAATGTGTTGGTTCAACCGGTTCTTTCTTTATGTTGTCAATTAGTTTACCACAGTCCTCCAATATTGCCTTTGGAGAATGCAAATACATGTGTTGATAAAACATGTTCAATCATTTAACTTGCAAATGTAAAAGTGGAACTTCACCTGTGGAATCCAAACTGCATGCAAAGAGGCAACAGTATTGTCTAGTTCCTGCGTTGGTCCCGAGCGGCTTACACACCTGCTATTATCCACACTGGTAATATCTTCCATTTTATGGCCTCCACCAATAAAATCTGAAACACATCATGCGTGTAATAACGGACATATAAACAAGCACAATATTATAAGTCACAAAACAGGAAACTGTATTGGCATGTTCAATAAATACTCATAACAGATATGAAGAGATATACAAAAAATTACAGCTGTGTGACAACAAAACATGTCTGCTGAGACATGATCCCAGACCGCTGCCTCATGTTTCACACTATACTAACTGCAGTGCCTTGCGAAAGTATTCGGCCCCCTTGAACCTTTCAACATTTTGCCACATTTCAGGCTTCAAACATAAAGAAACAAAATTTTAATTTTTTGTCATGAATCAACAACAAGTGGGACACAATCGTGAAGTGGAACGACATTTATTGGATAATTTAAACTTTTTTAACAAATAAAAAACTGAAAAGTGGGGCGTGCAATATTATTCGGCCCCTTTACTTTCAGTGCAGCAAACTCAGTCCAGAAGTTCAGTGAGGATCTTTGAATGATCCAATGTTGTCCTAAATGACTGATGATGATAAATAGAATGCACCTGTGTGTAATCAAGTCTCCGTATAAATGCACCTGCTCTTTGATAGTCTCAGGGTTCTGTTTAAAGCGCAGAGAGAACCATGAAGACAAAGGAACACACCAGGCAGGTCCGAGATACTGTTGTGGAGAAGTTTAAAGCCGGATTTGGATACAAAAAGATTTCCCAAGCTTTAAACATCTCAAGGAGCACTGTGCAAGCAATTATATTGAAATGGAAGGAGTAACAGACCACTGCAAATCTACCAAGACCCGGCCGTCCCTCCAAACTTTCATCTCAAACAAGGAGAAGACTGATCAGAGATGCAGCCAAGAGGCCCATGATCACTCTGGATGAACTGCAGATAACTACAGCTGAGGTGGGAGAGTCTGTCCATAGGACAACAATCAGTCGTGCACAGCACAAATCTGGCCTTTATGAAAGAGTGGCCATTTCTCAAAGATATCCAATAAAAGTCTCTTAAAGTTTGCCACAAGCCACCTGGGAGACACACCAAACATGTGGAAGAAGGTGCTCTGGTCAATCCATCCATCCATCCATTTTCTTCCGCTTTATCCGTTGTCGGGTCGCGGGGGCAGCAGTCTAAGCAGAGACGCCCAGACTTCCCTATCCACACACACTTCCTCCAGCTCGTCCGGGGGGACCCCAAGGCGTTCCCAGGCCAGCTGAGAGACATAGTCCCTCCAGCGTGTCCTAGGTCTTCCGCGGGGCCTCCTCCTGGTGGGACGTGCCCGGAACACCTCCCCAGGGAGGCGTCCAGGAGGCATCCGGAACAGATGCCCGAGCCACCTCAACTGGTTCCTCTCGACGTGGAGAAGCAGCGGCTCTACTCCGAGCTCCTCCCGTGTGACTGAGCTCCTCACCCTATCTCTAAGGGAGCGCCCAGCCACTCTGCGGAGGAAGCTCATTTCGACCGCTTGTATCCGCTTGTATCCGTATCTCGTTCTTCGGTCATTACCCAAAGCTCATGACCATAGGTGAGGGAGGGAACGAAGATTGACCGGTAAATTGAGAGCTTTGCCTTTCGGCTCATCTCCCTCTTTACCACAACGGTCCGATACAGCGACCGCATCACTGCGCACGCTGCACCGATCCGCCTGTCAATCTCACGCTCCATTCTTCCCTCACTCGTGAACAAGACCCCGAGATACTTGAACTCCTCCACTTGAGGAAGGACCTCTCCACCCACCTGCAGAGGGCAAGGCACCTTTTTCCGGTCGAGCACCATGGCCTCGGATTTGGAGGTGCTGATTCTCATCCCAGCCGCTTCACACTCGGCTGCAAACCGCCCCAGTGCATGCTGCAGGTCCTGGTTCGTTGGAGCCAACAGGACAACATCGTCCGCAAACAGCAGAGATGAAATCTTGTGGTCTCCGAACCGGACCCCCTCCGACCCCTGGCTGCGCCTAGATATTCTGTCCATAAATACAGTGAACAGAACCGGTGACAAAGGGCAGCCCTGTCGGAGGCCAACATTCACCGGGAACAGGTCTGACTTACTGCCGGCAATGCGAACACAGCTCTGACTCCGGTCATACAGGGATCGGATGGCCCTCAGCAGAGGACCCCCGACCCCGTACTCCCGGAGAACCCCCCAAAGGACACCCCGGGGAACACAGTCGAATGCCTTCTCCAAATCCACAAAACACATGTGGACAGGTTGGGCGAACTCCCATGAACCCTCGAGTATCCGATGGAGAGTATAGTGCTGTGTGTGCGGACTGGGTCGCCGAGGTCTCCGCCTTCGACTGCCGCCCAGTCCTCTCAGCACCGCGCCACCACGGACCCCTCTGCAGGTGGTGGGCCCACAGGAGGGACTGCCCACGTCATCCCTTCGGGCTGAGCCCGGCCGGGCCCCGTGGGCTAAGGCCCGGCCACCAGGCGCTCGCATACGAGCCCCGACCTCAGGCCTGGCTCCAGGGTGGGGCCCCGGCTGCGCCATGCCGGGCAACGTCACTGCTCTCGTTATAGTGCGATCCATGGTGGTTTTTGGACTGCGCTTCGTCTGACGAGTCAGACAAAGCGCAGTCCAATGAAGCCAAAATAAAACTTTTTGGCCACAATGCAAAACGATATGTTTGGCGTAAAAGCAACACAGCTCATCACCCTGAACACACCATCCCCACTGTCAAACATGGTGGTGGCAGCATCATGGTTTGTGCCTGCTTTTCTTCAGCAGGGACAGGGAAGATGGCTAAAATTGATGGGAAGATGGATGGAGCCAAATACAGGACCATTCTGCAAGAAAACCTGTTGGAGTCTGCAAAAGACCTGAGACTGGGACGGAGATTTATCTTCCAACAGGACAATGACCCAAAACATAAAGCCAAATCTACAATGGAATGGTTCACAAATAGACGTATCCAGGTGTTAGAATGGTCAAGTCAAAGTCCAGACCTGAATCCAATCGAGAATCTGTGGAAAGAGCTGAAGACTGCTGTTCACAAACGCTCTCCATCCAACCTCACTGAGCTCGAGCTGTTTTGCAAGGAAGAATGGGAAAGAATTCCAGTCTCTCGATGTACAAAACTGATAGAGACATACCCCAAGCGACTTGCAGCTGTAATTGCAGCAAAAGGTGGCGCTACAAAGTATTAGCGCAAGGGGGCCGAATAATATTGCACGCCCCACTTTTCAGTTTTTTATTTGTTAAAAAAGTTTAAATTATCCAATAAATTTCGTTCCACTTCACGATTGTGTCCCACTTGTTGTTGATTCTTGACAAAAAATTAAAATTTTATATCTTTATGTTTGAAGCCTGAAATATGGCAAAATGTTGAAAGGTTCAAGGGGGCCGAATACTTTCGCAAGGCACTGTATGTAAAGGGAAAAAGGTCATTTGAAGTCCGCCTTGATAGAACAGCTAGAATTTGGACAATTACTTATTTGGACTAGACTTACTCGACTTGCTCTCCTCTAAACAAAAGGCCAATCTATCAATAAGTTAAACTTAAAAAGGGGTGCGGCAAATGCTATAAATATTATGAAACACCTATACTCAAAACTAATTAACAAAAAGAATACAGAAATACTCAACAATTAATCAATTTAATACACTTGTTGTCCACTGTTTGTCCATATCGTTGTTTTCAGTTATCACGGAGAAAGTCTTGCAAATCAAAATACAATAATTAATCATCTATAATACAGTGTTTTGTCAACTGAGAGACCAGAGAAGCCCTTCCTGAAACTTTGGACACCAGTTTTTTTTTCCAAATATGTAATAGGAAACAGACATAGAGAACTACTCAAATCCATAACAGATAAGACAGCTGTGGGGAAAGTCAGCTGTGACCCAGGTCGCTGCATAAAAAGTGTCCTGGATATTGCAAAGCTACTAAAATACGATGCATCAACACAAACAACGACTGTCAAAGTAATATTCTACTTGTTCCTTGTACCTGTGTGTATTTGTATGTTGTCCTCCTGCTCTTGTGTGACTTCTGCCCTGGCTTCAGTCCTCTGCGCCTCTCGGAGCTGGTCCTCTGTGGTCTGCAGTCGGAGCCTCAGTCTGATCACCTCCTGCCCCCTGGCCTTCAGCTCGGGCAGCAGACTATCCTCCACCAGCCTGGTCACCTCGTACATGGCGCTCTTCACCACGGTCTCCATCACGTCTGACAGCTGTGTCTGGAAGCCGACGATCAGGCTGTCTGTGTCCGCCATGACTGGGATAATGTCCAATAACAAACGCGCGGCGATGAAGAACTAGACAATCTCAACCATCGCTACAATTATAACCATTAAACTGAGGTTATTTCACGCCTATTTCTCGCCTACCACGATATTCGCAGCTGTCTCAAGTCTTTAGGAAACATATTACAAAGGCTATCATTCGCTCGGAGTGATAGATCCACAAAGCAGCTCACGTCAGAGCATTAGCATCGCGCTAACTGAGTGGGATTATAAAGTAGCGTTAATGCTAATAGGTATTCGACAGATAAGTCACTCTGATATTCTTGCATGTGGGGATGTTAGGTTAAAATCATGGGTGGTTGGAGTGTTTCGTCTTCGGTTGTTTTTTGTTTTTTTTTCAAAGTACACGTCACATAGTACGGTGTCTCTGCAAAGTCAAAATCAGAACGTAAACCAAACGCGATTTTCCTGTTCTTCCTCTTGTGGTGCAGGGATCAAGCAGTGTGTTGGCGTGTGCGGTGCTGCCCCCTTGCTACGGTTAGATAGTATTGCTAACGAGCCCTGACTCTACTTCTGATCTACACACACGCAGCTCTGGCACTTTTTCCCTTCTCTCCGATTCTTAATTTTTAATCCAAGTTTAAACACACATATTCTCGGTTTAAGATTGATACGTTGTCTCGCCCGTGTTCTTGTTCCGTCTGTTTGACATGGTTGTATTATACAATCTGATTATTATTTTGTGGGGAACTTGGGACGTGATTTTCTGATATGTATTAGGTTGTTAAGAAAAGTCTTGCCAAAATAAAAGTGTTGTGGTTTATTTGGTTCAAACACTTCATCTTATAAGAAAACACAATGGCCATTAAGTACTTCCAGCCCTGAGGGCTGGATCTTGTCACACACCTGGCAGGTATTGCCACCTGCCTGCTCCAGAGACCCAGCAGCCCAGACCAGCCAAAGTCAAACGCTCAATACATTTTTTTTAAAACCCTTTTTTCCTAAAATGCCTGCAGAGTCTGCTTTGGGGTCTAATTATTAATCTGTATTAAAGTCTCCAATTCAGTTGGTCTATAATTTAAAATAATAGGAATATAACAAGCTACAACACAAAACAATACAATTTAGGGCAGCACAGTGGCTGAGTGGATAGCACTCGCGCTTCTCAACGAGAATTAATGGGGACTTTCTGTGCTTTCTCAGAACCGAGGTGTAGTGACATACGGAATTTAAGTCATGACTCATGTGTGGAAACTATTAAGTGGCAGTATTTGTTTTAGTTTAATTAAACTTTAATGTGTCAACTACAGATACTCAATGAATGCGCCTAATTACTTGCAGTTAAGAAATTAATAATGAAAGCAGTACAATCATCAGCTTTTATAGCTTACTTATTACAATGAACATTTCTAGCTGTACTTTGACTACTTTTTGTGAATCTAGTGTGAATTTAGTGTTTTGAGGTAACAATACACTTTTGTTTACTGTGGTATATACTGTATAATCTCAACAGGATTATGAAGGCCCTGCGGTAGCGCTTCTTTTTGCACTGAGGTGCCACAGCCTTCCTGAAAAAGCTCCTCAGCTTCTCCTGTGCAGTGGATGGGAGGTGTTGTCCATGATGGAGGTGACTTTCACCCTCCTGTCCCTCACCTCCTCCACAGAGACCAGGGGGCAGCCCATAGTGGAGCTGCATGGCCCCTTCTGACCAGCTGAACCTTACATTGTGTGCACCATGTGCACTTGTATATTGTAAATAGTAAATGTAACTCCAATTTAAATTTAAATTTATTCCTTAGACGTGTTTTTTATTCTTTATTTTTATTATCTCTTTCTGACTGTTGCACTGAGCCAAAAATTATTCTGATTCTAATTCTGAATCTACTCCTGTCCCGCTCTGTGCTGCCCGGGGCCCAACACACGGCAGCGTAGAATATGACAGAAGCTATACCGCAGAGTCATAAAAAGGTCCTGAGCAGAGGCCTACTCACTTCGAAGGACCTCAGTCTCCTCAGAAGGTGGAAGCAGACTTTAGCCTTTCTTGACCGACCATTACAGTTTGTTCCCCTCTGACACACAGCCCACGATAGCGGAATCGTAGTCTGCAGTGTGTGATTATTAGTATTATTTTATATTACAGTGACTCCCACTGATGTCTGCTGTCGTTGTGTCCTTGGGCAAGACACTTAACCCCACTTAGTGCTCCACAGTAGGGTATTAAACGTATAGGTCCGGTCACACACAATTAGATTGAAAAGCATGGGTGGGCTTTCATTCTCTGCACATGATATTCCAAGTTGTGGCCATAACTTTAACATCGGCCACAGTTGGAAAACCTGGTTGGCAAAAGGCTCACACCAAAAGAGAATCCTGTGTCCGGCCTCACATGCATTAGTCCAAGTTTGATCATTGACTGACTGACTGCTTGTTGTTGCTCAAAATTAGCATAAAGTAAAATAAGTAAAGAGCTGTTATATGGGGTGAGATTTGTGTCATATTGATTCATTGATGCAAAAATATAAATTAATTCAAATTCCCAGATTTATCCATAATATCTAATTTGCGTGCTTAGATTTATTCACATAAAATATAATTTGCACATATATATTTGTGAATAAAACGTATGTTTTGGTTTGTGAATCACTACTTCTGTGAATAAAACGTATGTTTTGGTTTGTGAATCTGTGCCTTTGCATGTGCCTATTTGAATCTGCATTTGTGAATCACCTATGGGTGAAATCTTCTTCTTTGTGAATGTGGATATTTTTGAGACAAATTTCACACGTTTTTATAAAAAATATATGCACAGTTTTCAATCCTCGCAAAATCCGGATTTATTCAAAAAGTTAGTTTTGCATGCAATTTTTTGAACACGCATTAGAAAATAAAATCTGATTGTATTTGCAAATCTCTGGTTTTGCATGTGAGCGTTTGAGTCTGCATTTGTGAATCACTTCTCATTCTCGCAACAGCACAGTTCCCTTCGTGACCGCTTGGGGGCAGTGGGATGACGGGCCTGCAACTGGGGGTAGTGTTGTTTTCACGTGAGCCTTTTTCGCTGTTAACTTTTAGCTTCAAATAGCGATAAATAATTGTGGCATTCTTTCTGTTGGCAAATATCAACAAATAATAAACTATATTAAATGTACACTTAAAAAAAATGTTTTTTAAAATAAGTAATTTTGGTCTGCGCATGCGTAGTGCTGCTAAAGATAGAAAGTGGGCCTCCGGAGGAGTGGCAAGTCTATCACCTGGAAAGCATGGCTGAGAGAGATCAGAGTGAAAACGCTGGATGGGTATGTTTATCAGTGTTCTACTTTGCAGTGTATAATATTTCAGCCAACTCAGTGAAAATGTTGTCGGGTAAAGTAATCCACCGAAAGCATTTAGCCTCACATGTATTTTTTGATGGTATGTTTGATCACAATCGTTAGCGTAGCCAAGTAGTCATTAGGTAAAGTTAGCACCATATTCACAAATTTGGGCCTCCGAGGGCAATAGCTCATGAAAGCAACATTGTTGAACGAAAGTAATAGTACCAAAACAATCACCGTTACATAGACTAACTCCTACAACATTGATTGATGTGTTGACGCAAAGAAACGCATTAGATCCAATATGCTGCAAGACCCACACCAATCTCTCAGAAATGATAAACAATGATTATATCTAACTACTACAACCGATTTCACCATCGAAGCCTTAATTTCCATAATTATTAAAAAATACGATATAATATTAACGTTAATCTGCAGTTGGTGCTATTACTTTTGTTCAAATTGCTTTCAAGAGCTATTGACTTCGGAAGCACAAATCTGAATATGGTGCTAACTTTACCTAACTTAGTAAGTAAAATGTTACACAATTCATATTTAAGATAGTATTCTGAGACTATAGTGTAATAATGATTGACCAATACATAATAGGTTGCGTTCACATTGTAAAATGTGATGTCATAAGGCCAGATGTTGGGTAAGAGACAGTTTTTCTTGTGCTTTGCTGTGAAATATCTTAATAATAATAATAATAATAATAATAATATAATAATAATCATCTTGTTGTTAATCTTAATAATAATAACCTGATTTTCCTTCTGTTTTTCTAGAATTTACTCAAACAACATGTCATGGACAGGCTATACAACAAGCTATCTGATGCTCTCCAGAGACAGCCCCTTGATCCAGATTATGTAGAATTTGTATGCAATCAAGAAATTGTTTTTCTAGATATTGTCGCCCAGCACATCCCTGTTCCACTGGAGGTTACCCGCAAATTGATGCAACTAATTGGGGAATTGCATTCTTTAAATGAAGAAAGGCAAACAGCCCTTGTACCGGTTCAGTTTGAACAAGTACAAGGGTCTGGGCGCCGAAGAATATTCATATCCATATTCATATCCAAGTCCTGGCATATCTTTTGGAATCTTGACTATCAGGGACGACTGTGTACAGATGAGGATCTTGATGGACTCGTCTCTCAAATCAAGCAAACAATGCCACATGCAGGGTATCGACTTGTGAAGGGGACATTGGAGGCACAAGGTCATAGAGTGCAGTGGAACAGAGTGAGAGCATCCATGCATCGAATTGATAGCATTGGAATACTGTCACGGATGACTCAACTTGGATGTGTTGTGAGAAGAACCTATTCGGTGCCTTGCCCAAAGTATTTGGTTCATATTGACACCAACCATAAGCTTATTAGGTAAACTACATCAATTAGTCACCAGAATCTGATTGTTTTATTGCCAGTGTCCGTGACAGGAAAAAATCTCAAACTAGGTAATCTGCTTTGGTAATCTGGTGCAATACGATGATAAAGTAATAAATTAGCTTAAAAGAGGAAAATATAATGGTAAAAGTTTTTTAAAGTGTAAACGCACAGTAAGAAATATACTGTATACATTAGTCATGTCATCAGTGCAGAGCGAGTGCACTGATGAGCTTAATATATTACCAGAAGTGTATAGAGTAGCAAAGATTTAAATCATTTAAGTGTGACATTGCAATGTAACTACTGTAAAAATACAAAGTGATAAGCCAAGATGTAGGAGTAACTATATAGTAAAATTCTTTGATGCTAAATGCAATTACTTGTAATTACAACTGTATTGTCCCTCAGGTTCAACTTTGTTATATTTGGTGCCATTGATGGCTTCTCACGTAAGGTCAGAGATACATTACTTATCTTAACCCCTTAGCCCCCGCTGTAACCGAGTGCATTTTCTCCGGTTCGGTATTACTCAAATCTAAAAGTTTTTATGGACTGGAGTGCAACAGTGTAATGCCTAATTTGAAAGCTAAGCCCTACAAAAGTGATTGTAACTTTGTTGCCGCAACGTTGTCCTTGTTTTCGTGATGCGTTTTTCAAGAAGCTTTTAGATTTGGGAAAGCCCAACTGGAGAAAATGTGCTCTGTTCAGGTGGGGCTTAAGAGGTTGTGTGATATTCCTGAAACTTTTCATAGTGTACACTATTGTTTTGTTATGCAATATATTTTTCACTTGCAGATAATGTATCTTAATGTTGCAAACAATAACCGTGCAGCCACAACGCTGGCTTTTTTCACTGAGGCTGTTGAAGAATTTGGCTATCCACTAAGGTAAAACATGTCACATTTTGGTGAACAGATAAATCTTTTCTTTGTGCAATCCACGATTCACACTATTTAATGATTGTTTCACTTTTGGCTATTATGCAATTTAAAGTTGTATAATAGCCAAAAATCATTCTATTTATTTTCTTTAATCATCTGTTTCTCCTTTTAGAGTACGTGCTGATCAAGGAAGAGAGAATGTAGATGTTGCTCGCTTAATGTTCAGTGTTTGGGGCCCAGACAGTGATTGCTTTTATGCAGGAAAAAGTGTTCATAATCAGAGGTAAAATGGAGAATTTTGAAATAAGGGAAATATTATGAACAGTAAGCAGTTTTTTAAGACTTAAATTTCAAATGTTTTTTCCAACAGGATAGAGCGCCTTTGGCGCGATGTTTGGATGGGGGTCACCAGTGTGTTCTACCACACTTTTCACATGATGAAAGAAGAAGGCCTCTTTGATCTAAGTGATGCCACTCATCTCTTCTGCCTCCATTATGTGTTCCTGCCACGTCTCCAGGCAAGCCTTGATGTGTTCCATAAAGGATGGGACAATCGCCCTTTAAGAACGGAGCAAAACATGACCCCTAACCAGTTGTGGTTGGCTGGGCAGATCCATCACCACATTCCAAATCCAATGGTATTTTGAATGATTTAGTGTTTGTATTTGCAAATATTTTGTAAATTTAAAATACTAAAATTGATTTTGCTCACTTATCAACTCAAGGACTTAAACATTCCTGACATTGATTGGGACGAGAGTGGGGAGGTCCCTGAGGAAAATGTTGGGGTCCAAGTACCAGACCTGGAGAGCCCACTTACTCCGCAGCAGCTGAGCACATTGTCTGTCCACATCGACCCTCTGCAGCCATCAGAGTCAAATGGTGTGGATGTATATTCGGCAACACTCCAATATGTAACTAATATGCTTGAGGATTAGAAAATTAGCAGAGGTGACAAAAATAAAAGTACAGTTGTCTAAAAACAAAGTTATTTTGAAACTTATTATTTTTATTAGTAGGTTATTATGTAGTGATCTATTTTTTTAGATCATTTTTAGATTATCTGTAGGCAATAATGGGAATATTACACTTTGAGTTTACATTATATACTGGTTTAAAGTTCTGAATTGAGTGACAAGAAATATCGAACTTTTCCCCTGATATTTTAGAGATGTGTATAACCTAGATATCACTATATAAGCACTTATGTACCAGCTATTTCAAAATAGAACCAGTCAGTGAATATATACTTTTAATTGGTACTTCACTTGACTATCGGTGAGTGTAAAATTATACAATGTTATGTTTCTTTAATTGTAAAGAAGAAAAAGAGGGGAGGATAAAATATTCAAATGCTTTTAATTATAAAACAGTTAAACATTGCATGTTAGCCTTTTACCATTGTGTTCTAAAAGTTAAATCTTTACACCAATCCACAGGCCAGTGTACAGGTTTGCAGAAAACTTGAAACAAAGGTAAATTTAATATCGTGGAAATGCAAATTTTGGCTGCAATACATTGACTTCGATGGTCTAGTCAACCATAGATGATCAGATTCAGCATAGGTTAATTTACCTTTTGGATATTTAATTATGAATTACATTGTAAATGATAGGAAATCTGGTACTGACCCTCAATGTTGCCTCATGGAATCATCACATTCTAGAATCTGAAAACCAGCAATAGGTTCTGTTCACGCAACATCCCAACATTCTACAAGCCAATGTGGCTTGGTGGGGATATGGCATATGGTGGGGAGCTAAAATGAACATTGTTTAAATGCATGTTATAATTGTAATGCACAAGGTTAATGAGTCTAGTCACTACAAATACACCAGATTTTAAATGTGTGAAATGAACTGGATATATTTTTTTTGAAAAGTACAATGTTAATAGGAAGAACTCTATTGCACCACTCTGTTGGACTTATGACATCACATTATAGAACGTAAACCAAACCTATAGAGCTTGGGATTGTGACATCACATAGAATGCTGTGTGGCAAGACGTGCCCTGCTTCCATAGAGAAACATCAGCAAAAATTATCTCGAAAAGTAAACAAAAGAGCTGTGGAACGACATGACATTGTACTGGGTCACTATAGTGGTAACATCTGTCACTCCACAGTGTCGGAATATGTTTTAATAAATGCAATGTTTAGCATTTAACGTCAGAAAATCCCTATGGAGATTTCCAGATGTTAAATGCAACATTTAGAATCAATTAAAACGTATTCCGACACTATGGAGTGACCCAGTGCTTTCAATCGCATCATTCCACATCTCTTTTGTATACTTTTTCAGATAGTTTTTGCCAATGATAAGCTATTAGTCACTAGACTCATTAACGTTTTGTATAATTTAAAATAAAGTGGATTTAAACAATATTTCATATAACTGTACTAAATATTTTAGGCCTGTAGAATGTTGTGATGCCATATGAACAGAACCTATTCTCAGACCTAATAGTATGAACTATTGTGGGCAAACTCTTATTCCCAATAACGTTTTATAGCGTAGAACATTAACATCAAGGTGAAAAAATAAAAAGATTACAAAAAGGAATCGGTTATAATAAACCCAAACTTATTAACTAAAATAGTAAATCCAAAGTTTAGTCCAAAAAAAAAAACAAAGAAACCTACACAAGCCCAAAACCACTTTCCACAGATTCCAAACAAGCCATGATATCAGCTTTAAAAGCCTGGTAAGTTTTATAATGGTTCGGAATTCGAAGGCGTTCGAAACAAGTGCTTGAGGTTGGGAGATGGTTCATCCCTCTTGATTTTACAACTTGTAGTTTTAATCTTCCTACAGGCACCTCCCACCCGATCCAGAATTTCAGCAGCTGGCGCAGGTGGTCTGAAGATGCTAAACAAATAGAGGCCATAGAGTTTGAAAAAATGTGTAAAAGATGTGTTATGTACAATTACACACCAATACCTTGTTCAATAAAGGTTCTCAAGAAACCTGTGGTAACACTGACTGTTTCAACAGGCACATCATTGTCGCTGTCACTGTCGTCCCTTTTTTCGGAATCGGGCCATTTGATACTTTCAAGAATCGCCTGTGAATATAGGTATTATCAAACTTAAAGAACATCTCTATCTCTAAATATATATATATATACACACACACATCAATGTGAATTGCATAAATACAGGGCTTTTTTGTGTGCAATTTTTTTCATCCTCAAAAGGAGATACAACATGAGATAAACAAGGTTGATGGAACAGTGTAATAGCTTTGCATAATGGGTCCTTTAAATATTTGGATTCTTATATTGATTAAAAAAAAAAATGTCACTGAAATTTCCTATGATTTTTTTGTATTTTAATTATTCATTGTATTGTTTTTCTTACTTTGGAAGTGATGGTCACTTCTTGCTCTCGAGGAAACAGTAGAGGTATAGTATCCGGTCGACAAACAAGGAGAGGCCAAGGGAATTGCCTAAGTACATAAAAAAGTTAGTAATTACATCCTAGTATTAAAACAATCATGTTCAATATTGATAGCAATTATGAGCCAATTAGATTAAGTTGTTTTGTTGTAAAGGTGATACAGAAACATTAAGTTAAGCAATTAATCGCAAATAATTGATTTTCGAAATAATCATCAATGCAATTAACATAACTATACTAAATTATATGTGCATAACATGTGCCGAGAGAATTCGTTTTGTGACTCATACAATGTGTTGCTTAGAAATGTCACTAGAAATATGTGAATGTTACTTGTTGTTATTATATAATTATGTTTTTGTGATAAAGTATGTTCTCATGCAGCATGTCTTCAGCTTTGACCAAACCCGACCAAAATATGACCTCTTTAGTCACATTTTGTAAACATCTCATTCACTGGACTAGCTAAAATTCTACTTTTTAAGTGCCTGTTGCACTCTTGCGGGATTGGCACTAGATGTAGGTGCGACTGTAGGTGTGACCGCTGGTGTGGTGGCTGTGGATGGACCAGGTGAGGCCCTCAACGTATTGAGGAGGTCCTCCACCATTGCTTCCACCCTTTTCTGTAATTATAAGCAACACAATGAAAATGAAAACAGTGTAAAATAATACTAATATGTTTCAATAATATACTACAACATTCTCAGATGCTCCATCTGACAGAGACTAAAAAAGGGAGCACAACTATAGTTCTGACCAGGCTAGCAAAAAGACCTGGAGATGCTTCTCCGAGCGCTCACTGCTCTTGAGTAGATGCCCCAGAGGCAATGCATGAATAGTCAAATGCATTTCCCCATGGAGACTTTAACCTTAGTTGAGCATTTATAGTTTAAAACCAGACTTCACACTGTCAGCCGCCAAAGATCGGTGGACATAATGGCAATAACACTGGTCCGGGGATGTTGACATAACAAAAGAAATCCTGACCATTTGAGAACCATTTTCGACATATATTCTTAAGACTGTATTACCAGTCATAACATGAATTAAATATTATGGTCATGTCCATCTAGCAGCGCAAACCCTATGCAACAACATGTTAGCTGTGAAAGTTAGCTTCGTGTTGCCGTCAGTCTATCTATTACTACAACACTTTAAAAAGACTTGTATTATTACTTGTCAACAGATATAAAACAAATTATGTTTGCGAGTTTTTACTTACAATTGAAGGCGGTTCACCACTGGCTGGCGCTTGCTGTCGTCCCGCCATGTTCAACCCATTGAATTAGAGCTCAAGTGAAAACAACACTACCCCCAGTTGTTTGAAATGTGCAGGCCCGTCATCCCACTGCCCCCAAGCGGTCACGAAGGGAACTGTGCTGTTGCGAGAATAAATCTGGGAAAACCACGCGGCGGGATGTTTGTGTCAAAAAGATCCTCGGCGAATCAAAGGCTGAATGCACGCGGTGAGTGATTCACAAATGCAGACTCAAACGCTCACATGCAAAACCAGAGATTTGCAAATACAATTAGATTTTATTTTCTAATGCGTGTTCAAAAAATTGCATGCAAAACTAACTTTTTGAATAAATCCGGATTTTGCGAGGATTGAAAACTGTGCATATATTTTTCATAAAAACGTGTGAAATTTGTCTAAAAAATATCCACATTCACAAAGAAGATTTCACCCATAGGTGATTCACAAATGCAGATTCAAATAGGCACATGCAAAGGCACAGATTCACAAACCAAAACATACGTTTTATTCACAGAAGCAGTGATTCACAAACCAAAACATACGTTTTATTCACAAATATATATGTGCAAATTATATTTTACGTGAATAAATCTAAGCACGCAAATTAGATATTATGGATAAATCTGGGATTTTGAATTAATTTATATTTTTGCATCAATGAATCAATATGACACAAATCTCACCCCATACTGTTAACTCTGTCCACCTCTTTCGCTCTGCACACTATTTCTCCTAGTTGCCTCTCTGAACCAGCATGCACGTGTAATTCTCACATTGTAGCATTTTGTGTCACTGCATTTTTATGACACATGAAGATTTGAACATTTTCTCTAAAAAGGGCGTTGCCTGGAGGACCAAGGGAAAAGAAGGGGGGCTTAGAGTTGGGCGTGGTCTGGGCTGTGATTGACAGCTCACTTGTCACACAAAAAAAATCTTAGTTGTCATTGCTGCTTAAAGCAATAGTTTACACACCAGAGAGTCTCATTCCACCCTTGTTTACACACTAAGATAATTGTGAAGCTACACAGCTGAATCTAATCCACAGAATTCTCACTCATGTAATTGCATTTTAATCCACTGGATGGCGCCATAATACTCCAAACTGCAGCTGGGGCGTGTGTGAGAGTTGAATGGGTTTAAATCACTGGCGCAGACAGACTGACGTCACACAAACCAACTGACGTCATAGAGAATTTCAGAGTCAATGGAGAGGCCAGAACCCAATTCAAATGTAGTACCACCAAAAAAGGTAGAGAGGGCACATGTAGAGAGCACTACAATTAACATATTTATGCAGTTTATGAGTTTAAAAAAGTTGATTTGGTGTTTAGCCGCTCTAAGGAAACACCTACCCTTTCCAGTGCATGATACAGGTAAACCACAGACTACTACTAATACTAATATATTACTAGTATAATACTATAATACTAGACATTTCCTGCAATAGCATCCATAGAGGTCACTGTTTCTCCATAAAAAACACAGTAAAGATACAGCTTTAATCAGAGATATGTTTTCGCTGGTGTGACTTAAGATGGTCAAGCCTTTTAAATTTGAGGCCACAGACGAGGCAACAGTACGGACATTCTCCAGTGTGCGTTCGCTGGTGCACCTTCAAAATGTCTGCCCGAGTGAAACTCTTGTTACACATTGTGCAATGATGGGGTTTCTCCTGGGTGTGTATTCTCTGATGCATCTTTAGATTCCAAAGACGACTGAACTTGTTCCCGCACACTGCGCAAAAAAATAGTTTTTTCCCAACCTGGTCACACTTGTGTTTATGCAACTTGAAGAGAGAGGGGAATGCTGTGTCACATTGCCTGCAAAGATGAGGCCCTTCACTTTTTAGGTTGCAGCTGCGTCTAAATGTTTTTGGACATTGGTTGTATAAGTATGGGGGGTCTTTCTCTGGCCCTTTGTGTGTCTGCTTGTGGGCTCTTAATAAAGCAGAGTCGTGGAAAGTGGCAAGACACAAGTTACATGTATGCACGCCATTCTCCATAGACTGTTGTTCCAATATCTCAATCATATGAGATATATCTGGTATATTTGGTTCTCCAAGCATGCCTTCTGCTCTATCAGAAGACATTTTAGCACCAAGGTTTAATCCTTCTCTTAAGCTTTGTTCAGAATCCACATAAGAGCATATATTGTCTGGATTTTGCAAATGGCCTTCCTCATTTATCAATAAACAGTCAATGTCCGTAGCAGTCTTTGGGGAAGACCTGCTTTGATCTGTCTGGCATGTTTGCTGCTCATCTGTTGTGGGGGACATAAAATGTTCACCATATTGGCCCATGTACACAAAGTTAACTTTACCAGCAGCAGCAGCAGCGCCGCTGACATTAGCATCTGCATAGCGTGCGTTGTTCACTTTGTCCATGTTGTCAAATTTACTTTCACACAAAGGCTCAGGTGAACCTTTTTCATTGTCCTGTTGATATGTGGATTTTTGATCAAACTGAGTCTTCCAGCTGGATTGGAATTCAGGTTCAATCACTTGGCGGCTTGGTCCAACGCTGGGTTCATCTAAATGTAAATAAATAAAGTTACTATATATGCATAAAATGTTAATATCTTTGTTTTCTACAATCACATGAACGCTAAAGACATTTGTAAACTATCTGTACTAAAGCTAGAATGTGCACTGTGAAAGTACATAGCCATGGGATATACATTTTCAGCTCAATCGGTCTACTATATTTTTGCACAATCCTACCTTCAGACATCAGATACACACCTTTGCCCCATCACTGTTACCACTTTATAAATTGAAGGGGTAATATTGACTCGGAAAAAAGTGTAGTGTGTCTTGTGAGGTTGCAACTGTGATTCTATGTCATTAGTGAAGTAGAGGAGAAGAACAGGTTCTGTACTCGCTGCTTAGCTGGAGGAAGCACACTGACATTTACTGTGTTTTTGTAACATTTGATAATGCGTGCACTAATAATTTAAAACTGAAACGGTTAACAATGAAATACAGCTACCCAGATCCCCTCAACTTCTCACCTGTTTGATTGGCGAACTCAACGGTTTTGTAAAGTCCTCCAAGATAACTACAGCTTAACGGGAATACACTCAATTCAATTAAATTTAACCTGACACGCACACACCTCTCCAGTTGTTACCATAACAACGCTAAACATAAGGCTCTCATGTAAAATGAAAAGTGAAAATTTAAACAACATAATACTAGTAGTGGTGCACACTGGGGTAGTCTTGGAGTTTTTCCAATGTGGTTTTACTGCAAATGGCAAATAAATGAATCTGAATGTGATCTGTGCCTAGTACCTTCATTGCTTTCCATTTTCACAACATTTATCAAGTTTCGAATATCTGAAGAATCCTGTTGTTTACTCTGGAAACATGAAGACCGTCACATAAAAAAACAAATAGACATAGTTAAGAACAGTCTAACCAACTATGTAAACAGATAAATCATAAATATGCCCCAGTCATCAATGTGGTCTGTCCTACCGGGGAGGCCATTGGGGATTTCATTTCATATTTGACTTCTTCAGGCATTTCTTGTTCCTGTTTGACACTTATTTCTGCAAACAAGAGCATGCAGTTAAAATGTCTTATTATCAATAGCAGTGAGAATTGTATCAATATATTTACCTGTCTGTACATTCACTGCCTTCTCATTTGACACCTGAGGCTGCCCAGCATTTGCACAGCCACAGTTCCTACATCCCCGATTATCTGCTGCCTCTCTTCGCTTCCTTTTGCTCTCAGCCAGTTTGAGTCTTCTTTTGAGGGTGCACACTTGTTCCCTGCACTGCTTGACTTCTACCAAAAATATATCTTCCACCAAACGGGTGATCTCAAACGTGGCAGCCTTGAACACTTCTTCCATCACCCCAGACAGTCGGGACTGAAAAACTACGCCTGTCTCTGCCATTTCAACTTGTTGTTTATTGAAAAAAAAAAGAAATCCCGATGCAACGTGGGTCTGTTTGTGAAACCACACGGGATTGGATGCGTATTTGCAAACGTTTAGGAACAGAAACGCAAAGTTAAAAACAAGGGTGATATGGCAAACTCGCTGATAAAGACAATCAATATATGTATATACATTTATTCTATCATATTCTAGCTTCACAGTGAATTCTTCCCGTGCTCTCCGATTCCGTAAACACTCACACATCCTGGAGAAAGACGGCAAGTGGCTGAGGAGAAATTTCAAAGCGGCGCATAGAGCGTAAAACGTCAACTCCAAATGACTGAAAGATGGCAAGGCAAGGCAAGGCAAGTTTATTTATATAGCACAATTCATACACAAGGCAATTCAAAGTGCTGAACAGAACAAGAAAGCATTAAAATCATAAATAATCATAGTACATTAAAAAAAAGATAAAAATATAAAATCCCTCAGTTGTATGCACAGCTAAACAGAACTGTTTTCAACCTTGTCTTAAACATTGTCAGAGAGGAGGCCTGTCTCACATCTTCAGGAAGACTGTTCCAGATTTTAGCAGCATGAATCTGAAAAGCATCCTCCCCATGTTTAGTTCTGACTCTGGGCACTAACAGGAGTCCAGTCCCTGTGCTCCTCAGAGTCCGGGCTGGTTCATATGGGACTAACATGTCACTAATATATTTTGGTGCAAGGCCATGGAGAGACTTGTACACAAGCAGAGCTGTTTTAAAGTCTATTCTCTGAGCCACAGGAAGCCAGTGCAGGGACCTGAGGACCGGACTAATGTGGTCGTACTTCCTGGTTCTAGTCAGGACTCGAGCTGCTGCATTTTGAATGTACTGCAGTTGTTTTACAGCCTGTTTGGACAGACCTGTGAGCAGGCCATTGCAGTAGTCCAACCTACTGGAGACAAATGCATGGATAAGAATCTCCAAGTCTGCTTTAGACACTATGTTTTTGATCCTGGCAATGTTTTTTAGATGGTAAAAAGCTGCTGATGTTACTGATTTGATGTGGCTATTAAAATTTAAGTCTGAGTCCAGTATTACCCCTAGATTTCTGACCTTGTTTGAAGGTTTTAGGGAGAGAGACTGTAGGTGACAGATGACGCTCTCTCTTTGTTTCTGGGGACCAAAGACAATCATTTCAGTTTTGTCTGCGTTTAGCTGAAGGAAGTTGTTTTGCATCCACTCACTGATCTGTTGGATACAGTGAAGGAGTGAGTCCACTGGTCCATGTTCTCCTGCAGTCAGTGAGATATAGATCTGAGTGTCGTCTGCATAGTTGTGATAGGACACTTTGTTTCTGCGTATTAACTGACCTAACGGCAGCATGTAGAGATTGAACAGAAGAGGTCCCAGGATCGACCCCTGTGGTACTCCACAGGTCAGGGCCATATGATCTGAGACACAGTCTCCAATCTCCACAAAGTACTTCCTGTCTTCAAGGTAAGACCTAAACCAACTTAGGGCGGTGCCAGCGACTCCAACCCAGTCCTCTGATCTCTGTAAGAGGATCTCATGGTCGACAGTGTCAAAGGCAGCACTTAGATCTAACAAGATTAAGATTGAGACTTTGCCTGCGTCAGTGTTCAGCCGGATATCGTTTGTAACCTTGACGAGAGCAGTCTCAGTGCTGTGGTGGGGTCTAAAGCCGGACTGAAACATATCAAATGAGTTGTTAATTATAAGAAATCTAGTAAGCTGTAGGTAGACAACTTTTTCAAGGACTTTCCCCATAAATGGCAGATTTGAGATGGGACGATAGTTGTTAAGTACCGTAGCATCCAGGCTGCTCTTTTTTAGCAGGGGCCTGATGACTGCAGTTTTCAGGGCCTTTGGGAATATTCCAGAATGAAGGGACATGTTTACTATCTGTGTGAGTGAAGGTAACAGACTGCTCAGAACAGACTTCAGAAATCTAGTGGGTAGTACATCCAGGCTGCATGTGGAGGAGCTCAAACTGGAGATTATTTCTTGGACATTTTTATCATCTACAGGTGCAAAGTAAGTTAGCTCAGAGAGCCTTTCTGGCTGTTGGATGGTTATCTGTGGATTGGAGACAATGGCGTTTTTGATGCCTTGAACCTTGTCATTGAAAAAGTGTGCAAACTCATTGCATTTACGTTTGGAAGTTAGCTCTAATGGCATCTGAACAGGGGGGTTTGTTAATCTATTAACTGTTGAAAACAGAACACGCAGATTGTTACTGCAGCCTTCAATCATTTCAGAAAAATACCTTTCTCTCGCACTACGTAGCACCCGGTTCGCACAACTTATCTTTGAAGATCTTGTAATCAACCTGGAGGTTGGACTTGCGCCACTTCCGCTCGGCCCTCCGGCACTTTCTCTTTTGTGCCCTGACCGAGTCTGCTTTAGCCCACGGCGCCTTCTGCTTATTTTTCACTATTTTAACCTTCACAGGGGCAACGGTATCCAGAACATTCAAAACACTAGAGGTGACAGAGTTAAACAGTTCATCTACAGTAGAATACGATGCATTTTCAAAGTTTATCATTCCCATAAATAGTTCACTTGTATTTTCATTTATGTGTCTTCTTCGAACAGTTGCAGAGTCCACTGGTGGTTTGTTAGTGAAACACATGTCAAAAAATACACAGAAATGATCCGAAAGAGCAACATCGACCACGCTTATATTTGAAATATTCACCCCCTTTGTAACTAACAGGTCTAGAGTGTGCCCTCTGCTGTGGGTGGGGCCACTCACATGCTGAGTGAGACCAAAGGTATCAAGTAAAGAACTCAGCTCTTTTGCATTTCTGTCATCAACATTATCCACATGAATATTAAAATCACCTGTAATAACTAAACTATCAAAATCTGTGCATACAACTGAAAGCAACTCGGTAAAATTATGAATAAAACTGTGACATGACTGCGGTGGCTTGTATAGGACTATGAAGAGTATTGGAGGAGATTGTTTTTGTTGTATTTTAAAAGACACATATTCAAAAGACGGAAACTTCCCAAGAGACATTCTATGGGAGACAAAGTGGTCTCTAAAAAGGGCAGCTAAGCCTCCTCCTTTTTTGTTTTCCCGTATTTCAGATTCAAATTTGAAATTTGGTGGTGATGCTTCTATTAAAACTGCATTTTCTGTATTTTGGTCAAGCCATGTTTCAGCCATGAACATAAGATCAAGATTATAAGAACAAATAAAATTATTGATTAAAAAAGACTTGTTAGAAAGAGATCTGACATTTAGCATAGCAAGTTTCAAAGTTTCAGTATCAGCGGTTGTGGTCGGCTGATTCTTACACGGAACAAGAATTAGATTTTCCAGATTAGACTGATTAACTCCAGATGTTTTTCTGTAATGTATTCTTTGTGTTATCACTAAGGGAATGGCACAGGTGGCTTCATGACAGGGCCCCAGCCGGGTCTCTCCTCTAACTAGACTGCCAGTGGCTGCGAAGCAGAGACCCTGTGCATCCTAGGGAGAGGAGGGAGGAGGATGGAGAGGTGGGTGGTTCTTGGGTGTTGGACGAGGGGGGGTTGGAGGTGGATGGGTGTTAGGGGAGGGGCAGGAGTTGGGAGATAGACGAGGGGGGAGTGGAGGTGGAGGGGTTCTTGGTGATGGGAAACGAGGGGGGGGTGGGGGTGGGGCTGGAATGGTTTTGGGGTTAGGGGAGGGACCTGTGGATTTTGCGGGTGAATTCGTAGAATTTGAGGGACGGGTGGATTTTGTGGGAGAATTTGAGTTGGACGCCCTAGGTGGCTTTGGAGGTACGTATGGGGAGAAGTTATGAATGTTAGATAGGACCCTTGATCTGGCTACAGTGGGTGTGAGAGGAATATATGAAAATTCTATGTTCTTGTTCTGTTCTTTTGGGTTTTTTTTATGACACGAAACTGAAATTGTACTAAATATGTAAGCCTGTTTGATTTGTTCATTAAAAAAATAAAATAAAAAAATAAAAAAATTTGTCGCTTAAGATGAATGTCTTATATGCTGGTCAATAATGTCAATTTATTTTGTAAATCTGAATCATAATATGTGCAAAAAAGTAAGAGAACGGGGGAAAAGATTGGGAGCATAGACTGTTGGGAGCGGCTGAGGGAGGATGGTTCTCTCTTTTTCACTTTTTGTTTAAAAAACGCTGATAAAGAAGTGTGACAGGGACAAACTAGTGATATAACCAAATTGTTTTGAGCCAGGAACTAATGACATTGTATCAGTTTCATGATTGACTTGCTTGATCAAATGAAAGTATGTAGACTAAAAACAAGAGGCTATATACACTCACCGGCCACTTTATTAGGTACACTTATAAGACTCCACTTTAATAAAACAAATCCTGATCAGCCAATCACATGGCAGCAACTCAATGCATTTAGGCATGTAGACATGGTCAAGACAATCTGCAGTTCAAACCAAGCATCAGAATGGGGAAGAAAGGTGATTTAAATGACTTTGTATGTGGCATGGTTGTCGGTGCCGGGCTGGTCTGAGTATTTCCGAAACTTCTGATCTACTGAGATTTTCACACACAGCCATTTCTAGGGTTAACAGTAAATGGTCCGAAAAAGAGAAAATATCCATTGAGTGGCAGTTTGTTGGGTGAAAATGCCTTGTTGATGCCAGAGGTCAAAGGTGAATGGTCAGACTGGTTTGAGCTGATAGAAAGGCAACAGTAACTCAAATAACCACTTGTTACAACAAAGGTCTGCAAGAGAGCCTCTCTGAACACAGAACCCGTCAAACCTTGAGGCAGATGGGCAACAGCAGCAGAAGACCACACCGGGTGCCACTCCTGTCAGCTGAAAACAGGAAACTGAGGCCACAATTCGCACAGGTCACCGAAAGTGGACAATAGAAGATTGGAAAAAGTTGCCTGGTCTGATGAGTCTCAATTTTTGTTGCGACATTTGGAAGGTAGGGTCAGAATTTGGAGTCAACAACATGAAAGCATGGATCCATCCTGCCTTGTATCAACAGTTCAGGCTGGTGAGGTCCTTTAGAACCATGTCTATCCTTTTATGACCACAGTGTACCCATCTTCTCCTACTTCCAGTAGAACAAAACCCCTTGTCATTAATGAGGAATGTGCCCAGTACCATGTAATCCACGCCACGAAGGATTAAGACAGTTTTGGAGGCAAAAGGGGGTCCAACCCGGTACTAGCAAGGTGTGCTTAATAAAGTAGCCAGTGAGTGTACATGAGTAAGTTATTCATCTTTTTAAACATTAATAATATAAAGTTCACAAGAATGTTTAAAAATAGTTGACTTCAAAGTCTCGGAGGCTATATGCATCCTGTTACAAAACCATACAATGTCCTCATTTAAAAGTAAGTTTAAAAATGGTCACTTAGCTCCAGAGGAGGGTATTAAGATTATACTGTAGCTCTTGCGTGTGTTCTATTTCAAGTTTTTATTGCCTAAAAATATATTGGATTTGTAGACACTAAAACATGGAAAACATTGGTTTGCCATCACTTTGCACACTCCACAGTAGTGTGTTAAATTTATGGGGCTTGCATGTTTTCTACCATAGGTTTTTATTGGATATGTAGACACTAAAACATGGGTGGGATTTCTTTCTCTACACATAATGATATCCCAAGTTGTGGCCATAACTTAAACCTTTAACACAGTTGGAAAGCATTTTGAATCAAATAACTGGTCGACAAAAGGCTCACACCAAGTGTCTGTGTCCAGTCTCACATGCATCAGTCCAAAGATGATCACTGACTGACCACCGGTCATCCACACTTTCTTGTTCATAATTTGCATTAAATTTAATCCCAGGCAACTCTTGTCAATGTCAGCTTTATTTGTATGCTTCACAGGCACAATTAAAAACAAGCATAAAATACACACAAAAACAAGTAAAATGTAAAACAGTATAACTCAGTTACTTATAATAATAATACATCAAAGTTTTATAGCACTTATTTGGACACTTGGACACTTCAAACGGGGAATGACTAAAACAATGAGGTTTATGGGAAACCATGTTTGAGCAGTTTGGTCGAGAACCAGAGTTTCTAATGGGCAGTGGGAGTGAGTTCCAGAGGGTTGGGGCGACAATGGCAAACCCTCTTAGCGGGTGATGGAAGTGAGGCGATTGTTGCAGGAGCTCAGTAAGGTGAGGCGGGGCCAGGTTATGGAGGGACTTGTAGGTGAGGAGAAAGAGCATGTATTGGAGCTTGGATGTGATATTAAGCTCTGGAGTGGAGCTCCCCGTTAGTGTTAAAAACCGAGGCTTACAAATGTGCCTTGATTTAAAAACCTCTAATGAAGGATCTGAGTTTTGAGACAAGAGAAGAAGATAATTAACAAAATCTGGTGTTAGAACTGAGATAACAGCTCTCTCAAATATACAGGGGCTAAACCATTTAAATACAAGCATCAGAATCTTAAAATCAACCCAGAATGTGTGACCATCATAGGGGTAATGTGCTCCCTCTCCCCTCTCAGATGTCCCTGTGAGTAAGAGAGCAGCAGCCCTCTGGACCTGCTGAAGGCGCTTAAGTGAGCTTAGGTCCAGGCCACCTTGAAGAAATAAAATTATGAATATTCGCTCAGTCAATCGACAGAATATAGGCCTTCACTTTATTCAAGACTGAAAGCTGGTAGAAGCTTGATTTAATGACTTAATGTGTTTGCTTGTCCATCCTCAAAATGCTGCCAAAAAAAAACTTACATTTCTGACATAGGAGTTGACGTAAGAAGATAGTGTACCAACGGCATCACTCAAGTCAACAGGGAAGCTGGAGCTAAAATAACTATTTCAGTTCTATTCTCGTTGAGAATTTGGGCAAGCCAAGTTTTAACTTCCTGGAGACAAATTAGCAGTGTCGTAACTGACTGAGGGGAGTTTAAAGGCAGGTGGATTTGAATTTGAAGTTTAATATCATACTGGTGGCATTCCCTGCATAAGAAACATAGTAAAGGTACAGCTTTAATCAGAGATATGTTTTCGCTGGTGTGACTTAAGATGGTCAAGCCTTTTAAATTTGAGGCCACAGACAAGGCAACAGTACGGGCGTTCTCCAGTGTGCGTTCGCTGGTGCACCTTCAAAATGTCTGCCCGAGTGAAACTCTTGTTACACATTGTGCAATGATGGGGTTTCTCCTGGGTGTGTATTCTCTGATGCAACTTTAGATTCCAAAGACGACTGAACTTGTTCCCGCACACTACACAACAAAACGGTTTGTCCCCTCCCTGGTCACACTTGTGTTTATGCAACTCAGACAAAGAGGGAAATGATGTCTCACATAGGCTGCAAAGATGAGACCCTTCATTTTTGAAGTATGGGGGGTCTTTCTCTGGCCCTTTGTGTGTCTGCTTGTGGGCTCTTAATGAAGCAGAGTCATGGAAAGTGGCAAGACACAAGTTACATGTATGCAGGCCATTCTCCATAGACTGTTGCTGGACAATCTCCATCATCTGAGATATATCTGTGATTGTATTTGGTTCTCCAAGCATGCCCTCTGCTCTATCAGAAGACATATTAGCATCAAGGTTTAAATCTTGGTCAGAATCCTCATCAGAGCATATGTTGTCTGGAACTTGCAAATGGCCTTCCTCATTTATCAATAAACAGTCAATGTCAGGAGTGGTCTTTGGGGAAGACCAGGTCACACCATTGCTTGTGCTTTGGTCTGTTTGACATGTTTGCCGCTCTTCTGTTTGGGGGAATTTAAAATGTTCGTCACATTGGCCCATGTAGACAAGGTCATCATCATCATCAGCAGCAGCAGCAGAAGCGCCACTGATATTAGCATTTGCATAGCGTGCGTTGTTCAAGTGGTCCATGTTGTTATATTGATTATCACACAAAGGCTCAGGTGAAAAGCTTTTTTCATTGTTCTGTTGATATGTGGATTTTTGATCAAACTGAGTTTCCCAGCTGGATTGGAATTCCGGTTTAATCACTAGGCTGCTTGGTCCATCGCTGGGTTCATCTAAATGCAAAAGAGATACAGTTTAAATAAAATATTACAATACACATGAAGGTTAAAATCTTTTTTTTTCAAAAATCGCATGAACGTTTGATGAAATTTGTAAGCTCCATCCATCCATCCATTTTCTTCCCCTTAATCCATTTCTGGGTCGGGGGGGTGGCCAGAGATGCCACCCAGCACACAGAGCACCAGCCCCTCACTGATCCTCCTGCAGGTGGTGAGTCCACAGGAGCTGAGATCTTTCAGTGGGAGCTTCAGGCAAAGTGGAGTTAAGTGTCTTGCCCAAGGACACAACGACAGCAGTCATCAGTGGGAGAGGTGTAGTAGGTCTTACGGTGGGCTCGAACCCACGACCTTCAGGCTCAAAGGCCAATGCTCTACCAACTGAGCTACTGTCGCCCCAAAAATTTGTAAGCTATCTGCACTAAAGTTAGAATGTGCACTCTGAAAGCACTCTGCCATAGACATCGGACATACATTTTCAGATCAGTCTATCCAGATTCATTTTAATTGCCATTTGCAATAAAACTACATCAGAATACATGTGCAAAAGCACCAGACAAATAGATAAAAACAAGCAAAAAAGTACAAGAAACAATTGTCACTGAAATCAATCAACAAAAACAGTTTAATTCACAACATTTTTTTTAAGCTGCTCTGTTTAAACTGAAAACAGCTTGTGGAAAGAAGCTGTTAGCATAACAAGATGTTCTGCATCTCAGTGAACATTATCCTCTCCCGAAAGAAGAGTCTGGACAATGGCTTTTCTAGGGCGGCCAGAAGAGTCATTGTTTATTTTTTTTTAAGAGCTTGATTTAAGAGACTGAATTCAAAAAGAACCTCCAGAACAGGCAGCTCACAGTCCTCTTTCAGAGCGGAGCCCCTTGTTAAGAGCTACATCCAGGGCCTGATGTCTCCAACAGGAGCATGAGGTCCTCCACTCACTGCACTTATTTTAAAATCTGAGGAGACAGATCAATCCAGGCTGTTGTTCCTCGCCTTTGGAATGATCTTCCACGGTCTCTGCACATGTTATAGCTGGTGGACAACTTCAAGTCGCAACTAAAGATATATTTGTTTAGGCAGGCTTTCTCACCTAACCTTACATGGGCCCATCTGAAGTGTGTTCATTATTCTGTATACTTGTTTTTGGAGATGACTTGTATGTAGGGAAACACTGATACTGATACTGTTATCGGGCCAATACCATGGGTTTGTACTTGTACTCGTACTCATACCGTATGACCAGATGCTGGAACCGATACCCACATTTTCAATTTACATTAGCAACACGACAGCAGACAGCTGTGATGCACGTGTTGCCATGGTGCTCACCGAAAGCTGTCAGTGCGCAGCTTAAATTAGCCAAGCAAATAAGATCTCGGCCGTATGGCAGTTTTTTCTAAGTAAACTAGTGTCAAGAGTAAAGTGTGCAAGGCAAAACTGTGAAGAGGTGGGTTGAAAACAAACACGTATTATACCAGCAACTTGATCAAACATCTGAAAACTCACCGGCACACGGATTATAGCATCTTTACTTGCACCGGAGCACAAAAACAAGAAACTTTTAAATTATGAAGCGCTTTGTGATCCTAATCTGTGAAAGGCATTATATAAATTAACTTTACTTAGCGGTCTTTTGTTTGGCTGTGATGCTTCCAAACAACAGTAATAGAACTAGAGCTGCAACTAACGATTATTTTGTAATCAATTAATCGAGTAATCGCTTGGCTGTGAATTGTGTAGAAAAAAATTATTTTTTCATCACAAAAAGCTAAAGTGGCAACACTCGAGGACGTATTGATGGCGTAAACTTAAAGTAAATGTTTGTAACAGGCTCTTTGTGCTAATTCTGTTATCTGATTGGATGAGACAGACAGATATTCATGAAATTATAAAAACAAAGTCGGTTTTAATCAAAAATACTACATTTTCATGTCATTTTTGCTCTGTTTGAGTCCGTGTGAACCAGAAAACGATTAATCGATTACTAAAATAGTTGTCGACTATTTCAATAATCGATTAGTCGTCGATTAATCGATTAGTTGTTTCAGCCCTAAATAGAACCAACAAGCAAACTTTGTTTGCACCCCACAACAATCTGCACTTGATATCAAAAACAACAGGTATGTGAGAACTGTTACGACAAAAATCAAAGACAAGTTCACAACTTTGCATGTTTTGGATGTGTTCAGCTGGATTGTTATCGTTACTCCACTGAACAACTTTGATGGCTTTTAGGTTCTTCTAATAAGACAATTAAAGCAAAACAAAGCTAGTACTGCTTAAATACCTGACATGTTTCGGCGGTACACTTCCGCCTTCATCAGAGGTGACACGTGATGGTGTGACGCGTCTCTTATCAGCTGTTGTTGCCGGAAGCAGTCAGTCTGACAGATCTCACAGATCCATCAGACTGACCACGTCCCCCGCCGCGCTGTGGTCTCTGGAGAAGTGAATCCCAAGTGTGAGCCAAGGTGAAGGCCCCCTCGTCTCTGTTGATGGTCCGTGTTCCCCGCTTCCTGATTTCACGTGGTCAGTCTGATGGATCTGTGAGATCTGTCAGACTGACTGCTTCCGGCAACAACAGCTGATAAGAGACGCGTCACACCATCACGTGTCACCTCTGATGAAGGCGGAAGTGTACCGCCGAAACATGTCAGGTATTTAAGCAGTACTAGCTTTGTTTTGCTTTAATTGTCTTATTAGAAGAACCTAAAAGCCATAAACATAAGAAGACAGAATGAATTTTCTACATTGAACAACTTTGAATTTCTGATCTGTAAGAGGATTCATTGTTATCATTGATGAGACCAATGATTCTTGTGTCATCAGCATATATAATGATCAAGTTAGAGTCAGAAGAGGACGGTTTACAATGTAAACATCAAATGACTCAAAATACATCCCTGAGGAAATCCGGTGCTCACAGAAAAGAAGAGACATTAATTTACACCCTATGAAATCTGTCAGTTGAAAAGCTAAAAATAAATGTACACATAGCATCACTCAAACCAAGAGACATGAACTTTTCAACCAGTTTACCTGGGACAAGACAATTAAATGGAGAGCAAAGAATTGCACTCTTGTCTAAGTGACTGTACACAGAGTTGAGCAAATGAGATGGCATCATCATTGCTCAATTTCTGTCTGTAAGCAAACTTGAGTGGATCAAGCCCTTAATGAAGCCGCTCAAAACTCCACTATCCAGTATATGTTTGGACAATCCTGCCTTCAGACAACAGACACATCTTTACCCCTCTACTATAACACGATTATAACCCGTTGGCAGTGTAATAAATAGTGAAATGTGTCTTGTAATATGAAAAGTGCAATGATAAACAAAAAAAATATTAGTGCCTACCTTCACTGCTCTCCATTTTCACAACGTTTAGTTGCTCTTGAATATCTGAGGAATTCTGTTGTTTACTCTGGGAACATGGGGACTGTAGCAAAGTAGAAAACGAATGAACATAGTTAAGAGCAGTCTAACGACGTAAACAGATAAATCATAAATATGCCCCAGTCATCAATGTGGTCTGTCCTACCGGGGAGGCCACGGGGGAGTTAATTTCATATTTGACTTCTTCAGTAATATCTTGTTCCTGTTTGACACTTATTTCTGCAAACAAGAGCATGCAGTTAAAATGTCTTATTATCAATAGCAGTGAGAATTGTATCAATATATTTACCTGTCTGTACATTCACTGCCTTCTCATTTGACACCTGAGGCTGCCCAGCATTTGCACAGCCACAGTTCCTACATCCCCGATTATCTGCTGCCTCTCTTCGCTTCCTTTTGCTCTCAGCCAGTTTGAGTCTTCTTTTGAGGGTGCACACTTGTTCCCTGCACTGCTTGACTTCTACCAAAAATATATCTTCCACCAAACGGGTGATCTCAAACGTGGCAGCCTTGAACACTGCTTCCATCACCCCAGACAGTCGGGACTGAAAAACTACGCCTGTCTCTGCCATTTCAACTTGTAAAAACAAAATGTTTCCCTGTTTATAATTGTTCCTCTAAAATATAAGTAAAAACCAAATCCCGACGCGAAGTCCTTTTGTTTATGAAGCGAAGCGGAACTGGGTGCGTCTTTTCAAACGTTTAGGCAGAGAAATGCAAGATTAGGAACAAAAACATGATAAAAAAACCATTGCTAAATATACTCTCTTATACACTGGCCTCACTGCTGGATTCTTTTGTTACTCTCCAATCGATAATAGGTCCATATCTCCCGATTCACAAATCCGTAAACGCTCACACTTCCTGGAAAACCAAAATACGGCAAGTGGCAGGGAACAATTTTCATCGCAGCTCAAACAGTGTAGGTTGTACGGCAAATCCACGTGACTGTATTTCAAAAATATCCTTATGTCGCTCAAAATGTAATCGTATATACTTGTATATAATTTCAGTGTAAAGATAATCTTAATATGTCCATAAAAGACAAGTATACATTATAAGCCAAATGTACCCCAGAGAAATCATGGATCACCTATTTGCATTAAATAAACAAAAATCAATCATAACGAATACAAAATATTACGGGCCCTTTCTGTTTGCAGGTTCTCCCCATTTCCAATTACTTACCAGCAGTGGGCGTTTCCTCCCGCCACCGCCAGGGGGAAACTGTCCTACACTGACTGACGCACAACCCACAGCGTAGAAGAAAAACAAACCTGAACACCCTGTTCCCCAAATCAACAAGCACGAGGAGTAGTGTGATTTATTAGTTTTATGAGCGAGCAATTAGGTACGTCCTGTCATAATACGGTAAATACTATATTTCCTACTGTACCGCGTCACAAGTGCGATGTGGGGCCGGTGTGACGAGCCATAATATCAACAACAAGCTAGCATTATCTATTCTAGACATTCGACTTAAACTCCTTCATACACCATTCAACGGGTAATTTAACATAATGTAATATTATTCTTCAGAACGTCTATATTTTTCACACATGTATGTTTAATTATACACGTGTGTTTTTTTCCCCTCTGAAACAGATTTCTCATTTGCCCTCCTGGTCAGCAGACGGCGCTGTTTGACGACTCTCGCACTCCAGACAAAAGAACAGCAGAAGTCTGGCACTACAGGCCGACATGTTGTGGAGCACATTCGTAACGAGACATATCCATCTTTAGATATAGTGTGACTGTTTTTCGGCCCGTAATATTGGTGGTTTACATCACACGCGGACCGTAAAGATGTCGTCGGATGTGTTGAAGCATCGGCACACGTCTGCTATGGAAAAGATCATAAAGAACGCGGTGTCCGAAAGCAGCAAAGTTTTGGAGAAGATGATCGTGGAGCTGAGAGCTGAAATACTCCAAGTGAAGAGTGAAAACGAGAATTTAAAGATCCGATGCAGCCAGTTTGAAGCAGTGGTGAAAAAGGGCTCAGTATACAGAGAAACTGGAACCTCTCCCGAGCCCTACATCATTGACAAGTGTGACAAGGCCGTGCAGTGCGGTGAGTCCTCAATCCCGCCTTATTCTCCTTTCCTCTTATTTTGTGTTCATATCTCATACAATCAACAGATCAGTGTATGCTCAGTACTTTGACAAAGGCAAAATAATTTGTTGTACTTGATCACCGTCTTACTATTACTTGGGGAACTAACTCTTGTAATGTATTGTTGAATCCATTAGACACGATAAACATGAACAGTAAATTAACGTAGTTTCTATGCAATATTTAGTTTACTGTGAAAACAAATCAGCAATTTCTTACACTGTTTGTCCTGGAGTTAGCCACCAGGAGGCAGTGTTACTTTTTGAACAGCAAACGCAATAGTCAGTCATGCATGTTTATTGTATTCGAGTTTACAATACAATCAGTACACATTAAAATGTTTTTACTATTAAATGTTAATGAGATTGCTTCCTTTTTAAACATTGTAATCCTTCATGTATCTTATGTGTAGCTTTGTTCACAGAAATTACATTGCATCAACCAGAGGACAATCCAATTATTTCTGATAATGAAAGTGAGCGTTCGTCTATGCCAGCTTATGAAAAGGTAAACAACTGCCAAATATTAGTACCGTTTTTGTTTCCAACACGTAGGCTTGTTTAAAGAAGCAATATGTAAGTCAAGTCATCATTAAATGGCCCTAATCTGTCAAAAGGAGTTAATAAACCATGCCTTTTTCCAATACTTCTCTGATAAGAGTAGTTCAGCCGAGATACTTGAATTTCTAAATTAGTTTTACAGCCCCTAAATCTTGTTATTGTTGTCATTTTGATATCCCACCCCTCCACCGTTTCACCAATAACACGTAATCCGGGTTGCCAAAACTCACCGCGTCGAGCTAACAAAGTAAAATGTGGCCGCAGAACTATAGCTCTCGTTATGTAATAAACGAGCATTTCTGTTGGGGCTTTTGTGAAAAAGGTGTTGGTTAGGGCTGCGCGATATGACTGAAAACTACGTCACAATGTAAGTGATTCATATTGGTCAATATCAATAATTATTGATTTTCAAACGTGTATTTTTTTACCTAAATAAATACTTTTGACATTTCTGCTAATACACGTTAGCAGCTCTTGTTTACAGTTACGGGCAATGATTACTCAGACTGGAGGCATATGTTCACAAGCACAGTGTCCCCCATTGTCAGTCCGGGTGTAGCACAGGTTTTGCCTGTTTTTGAGTGTCTTGTGTCCCAGTGACAGCTCCGTGCGGCTCTCTGAAAGCCGCACGTGTTTCCCAAGGAAAAGGTTTATCTCTTGCTTTTGCCGCATGCATCGAGTCTCTGTACCAAGCCCCAGTGATCCAAGATGGCGCCCTATTCAAATGAATGGCTTGGGCATCGTCTGGTCCTCCCGGTTCTGCGCAGTGGACGAGCTCCCATGATGCGTTGCACCAAATACGCGTGTGTGGCTCTCATGCACATGCACAGAGGGTCGAAATTCAACCGATTGTAATCGCTAACATAGAGACTATACCCAGACGTTACATGCAGGGAAATGATGATTGAACGGAGTGTACGGATGCCTACGGCCAGGCTAGAGCGGAGCCAGAGCTGAGCCAGAGCGGGCGGAAAACAAGTTTATGGCAGTAAAGTGTGGATTTAAGTAGTACAAAAGTTTAGGACGCTAAAATCCCCACAAATCCGAACTTTATGAAAGCTGTAGGTTCCCTGTCAGCTGAGGTCGAGCTCTTTTAGTTTTCATTGAATTCTATGGGACTTTTTCCTAGGTAGCCTGCATGAATTTAGTTTACAGTACTATGCCCGTGGGTGGGACAGCTATAAGCTAGTAATACCCTATTCAGTTATTATTATAGATCCATGCTTTGTACCCACTGCCTCTACTGCGCCGCACATTCTATTCCTCGCATAGACGTGCATAACTAATGACATGGCATTGAAAAATGATTTATAGATACATGGATGCTATGCATGGTGTCGTTGTTTTTTTTTTCTGCATTTCCCAGAATGTTTTGCGGTTCATGCTCGGCTGTAATGGTCGAGAAGCCTCTGCCGCCTACATCCCCCATAATGCAGCGCGCTTCTGACTCGGCTTTACTTTACTTTTACTATCGACCCCATTTTCTATTGATGTCGAACACGTGTCTATTGCGATATATATCTTTATCGTTTTATCAATTTCATTATAAAGTTAATTTATACAGTTTCAAAATTAGCTACCCCAAATTCAATTTATATAAGTCATTTGTGTATTTCTTTGAAACACTTGTTTTTGTTGTTGTTCAGGAGTCCTCAAATGATTCTTTTGAGTTCATACAAATAATTGACGATGAGCAGAGCCTTTGTGACTCACTTGGTAAGTCATGTTGTATTAAATTAATAGGTTTTAATGATTTAATTTTAATTAACTATGTTTACTTTCTCAATGCATTAGATGAAACCATCAAAGAAACATCTCTTAACCAAGAAACAAACACAAATGATGATAGACCTGAGCATGAAAATATGGCAAACAAGGAAAAGTCTAGTTGCCCATCTAAAGAAGAAATTGTAACCACCATTTTATCTTCAGAAAGTGAACTGATCGAAGAGAGCTCTTGCAAAACGTATGAAATGGAAACGCCGGAAACTGTCATCGAGGATGCGGACAATGAATGTGCTGAAACAGATGCTTCACTGTTGAAATTCCAAAAAGAGGCACAGAAAGAACTGAAGAAGGTGTCAATTGATCAGCAAGAGGATATTAATTATCCCTTAGATAATGATGTCATAATTTGTGAAACATATGACCAAATAGTGTCTTTTGCTCGTCCAGAGGATATGAATGTCTCCACAGAGAATGAGGCCATTTGTAAAAAATCCCAACTAGTAGAAGGTGAAAGCAGTCCCTTGCCTGATTTGTCAAATAAAAATGTTCTGGAACATGACGCACAAGAAACAACTGAGATGGATGTTGAAATAGTTACACAAAGTGAACTCTCTTCCTCTGAATTAAAATCTGGTCGTGCTTATCCTGTTGATGCAAAAATCACAAGTCCTGAGGATCATGTTGATGAAGTTGTGTCCACCGAGGAAAACGCCTCAATGGATACTGAAATGGCACAAGAACAGAGCTGTACTCCAGCCATACAACCCATGCCTTTCGAAAGTTTGGAGGGGAGAAAAAATACCCAAAACATATCTTTTAACCAAAAAACACACACAAATGATGACAGACCAGGGCATGAAAATACGGAAAATCAGGAAATGTCTTGTTTGTCATCTAAAATTTTAACCACCTCTTTAGAAATGGCCTCAATGGATACTCATACGGCACAAGAACAGGGCTGTACTCAAATTGACTCTTCCACCATACAGCCCATGTCTCCTAAAGGTTTGAAGGGTAAAAAAACAACAAAAAAACAACAAACTATGAATTATCCATATTATTTAAGAAGACAGAGGTGCACTTCAGTAACTCAAGAGGACGCCATGCTTTTGTTGGATTCAGTTAACCTACCTGAATTTAAAATTTCAAGGAGAGCAAAAACAAGATCGTTATGTTTTGAAACCCCAAAAGTGAGTAAAACCCCAAGAAAGACGAAAGCTTCCAAAGAGCGTTCTATACCTTTGAAAGGAAATGCATCTACAACTGAGAAATTACAGCCACAACAAACTGAAGATGTCCAGGAAGAATCTTGCATAAATAGCGTGGTCATGGAGGATCAGCTAAATGACCAGGAACCTTCTATAACCAAACCATCACCAGTTATTGAGGAGCAGCCTAATGACCCGGAACCTTCTATTACCAAACCATCACTAGTTATTGACATCATAGATCTCACACTGGACGATGATGAAACATCAGATGACATGGAAACCAGTCTCTTAAGTAATTCTGTTACCAATGATACAACTCCATACATTACACCAAGACAAGAATCAGAAACTTCACCATCCGCAGACTGTATGATGGCTAACATTGATACTGAGGACAATTTTACCAATGATACAACTCAAAACATTACACCAAGTGAAGAATCAGAAACTTCACCATCCGCAGACTGTATGATGGCTAACATTGATACTGAGGACAATTTTACCAATGATACAACTCAAAACATTACACCAAGTGAAGAATCAGAAACTTCACCATCCGCAGACTGTGTGACGGCTAACATTGATACTGAGGACCACGTCACCAATGATACAATTATAAACATTACACCAAGTGAAGAATCAGAAACTTCACCATCCTGTGTGACGGCTAACGTTGATACTGAGGACCACGTTACCAATGATACAATTATAAACATTACACCAAGTGAAGAATCAGAAACTTCACCATCCGCAGACTGTGTGACGGCTAACATTGATACTGAGGACCACGTTACCAATGATACAATTATAAACATTACACCAAGTGAAGAATCAGAAACTTCACCATCCTGTGTGACGGCTAACGTTGATACTGACGACCATGTTACCAATGATACAATTATAAACATTACACCAAGTGAAGAATCAGAAATGTCACCATCCTGTGTGACGGCTAACGTTGATACTGAGGACCATGTTACCAATGATACAACTCCAGCCATTACACCAAGAAAAGAATCGGAAACTTCACCATCCGCAGGCTGTTTGACGGCTAACATTGATACTGAGGACCAAGAGATGACCACTCCTTCCACCAAACCCATTGAAAACGTTACCCAACAAACCAAAAAAACAACCGAAAGCATAAGCGTTGCTGCTGTCTTATCAGCCTTAGCATCAAGTCTGGCCCAAAAGGCCAATGGTAAAAAATTACGTTTATCGACTGCTGACCAGGATCAAGAAAAACAAGCAACAGAAAACACTCAAAAGGATACATTTAGTCTTATACCACACATTGCTGTGCCACAACCACAATCCAACTCTGGAGAAATGGCGGAGAATGCCCAGATTGATTGTCATGGAACTCGTGATGTGGGTAAGGTCACATCTCCCATTATGTCACCTCCACAACCACAAGCAGGTTCCAGGGAGACTAGATGTAATGCCCAGATTGATGGTCCTGTAACATGTGATAGCGAATGCCAAAGCAAAGCATTTCCTGTACCTTCAACTGGAAAACCAGCTCTTAACCCTGTAGTACAGGGCAACTTGCCTGTACCAAAACCGGGAGACACTGGTAACGGTTGTAATCTTATTTCCTCTCAACAAAGTCTGTCTGCTGCTCAGATCTCTGCTGTGGTGTCGGCAGTTCGCTCTAGTGATGGTACAGGTCCCGCATCCAGTGGTAAAAAGACCATTGTTGTTGTTCCTCTTCCGCCTGTAAAGAAACCAAATCATACAATTATTGTTATTCCAAGACAAGGCAACCCTTCGGACCATCCACCACAGACAATAGTAGAAGATGTTGATACTGGAGAACTGGTCCAACAACAATCTTCAGCAGTAGGAAATACTTCAGAGCCTTCACACACCTTGCCCTCACCTGAAAATGCACAATGCAGAAGCACAGTGCAGGTAAAATTGAATAGGTTAATGTTACCCATTTTGCCCACACAAACCGTTTCTGTCACGAACAAGTCACCATCTGGATCACCAGCAAAGCAGAAACACGACTCGAGTGGCTCGGCCTCGAAGATTTCACAAACAGCTACAACTCAACCCGAAGCTCAGCCAGTTAAAGATGTAACTAGGCCTGTAACTGACACCACTTCTGTAATACGTGATAAAAGAAAAACCTCTTCTCAAGAATCTCCCAAGGAAAGAGTCGACTCATCAGACAAACCAATTCAAATCCTCCAGCTATACCCTAGTGTGGCTGCTGATCACTCATACCCTCAGTTGACCATGACTAAATCACAATTTTTGGCTCAATTACACGTTTCTCCAGTCATCCAGGTCTGTATGCAAAAATCATGTTTGTTCTAGAAATTGTAAATTACAAGTGACATTTGATATTCTTTTTTTTCCCAGGATGGATCTGGTGAGAAGGGGGTGCAGAAATGTTCTCTTGTGGACCGATTGAGAAGTCATATAAAAACTCATACCAAGTCTACTCAAAAAGTAAAAGTTGCCTCAAAACCTCAAGTTGATTGTTTATCAAATGCCAACAAGACTGCCGGACAGAACCAAGAACAGACTGCTCATTTACAGGGCATTTCACAAGAAACCTTACCAGACACTGTGGCTCCAGTAGAAAGTAATAAATCAGATGATCCAAAGATTCAACAGGTGGGAAGAAAAAGAGGTACAACAACAGACGAAACTGTAACGAAAACGGTCAAAAAACGAAAGTGTGTTGTGACCCGTGAAAATACAATTTTACAAAGTAATTTGCGGAACAAACTCATCAATAGCAATGCGTTGTTAAGTTGTGTAAGAAAGGGTCTGTCAAAGAACTCATTTTTATGCAAGTTCTGTCAGAAAGAGTTTCCCAAAAAGAGCGAGATCGAGAAACACATCCAGGTGCATGCGGGGAAGAAGCCTTTCCAGTGCAACCTCTGCCGGAAAAGGTTTTGCAAAACTCGGGAGCTTTCGAAGCATCTGAAAAAACACGACGCAGAGAAGAAATACGACGCAGAGAAGAAATTCCAATGTACATTTTGTGGGAAAGCGTTTATGGAGAACAACAATTTAAGAAGACATTTGTACATTCACACCGGAGAGAAACCCTTCGGCTGTCCCTACTGCCCCAGGACGTTCATACAGCCGGGCTATCTGAACCTTCACGTGGACAAGGATCATAAAGATGCAGTTTCTACGTGAGGCTTGTGAGTCCGTTCTTTATTACATAATTTTCTCACATGGCCAACATGGCGTTAATTTTAGTTTTTTGTTTGTTCTTAAATTGGAAAAAGTTATTGTTAAAAAAATATTTCTTGATACAATGCACCAAGGAGGTTCTGACAATATTGTGACAAATGTAGGAAAAGCAATGCAAATGTCGTGTTTTGTTAGTTTTTTGGGGGCTTTTTTCAGGTTGAGATTTATGTGTATTGCCATTGTAACAGGAAGTCTAGTATTTTCTTTGGCAAAGTATAGAACTAATATTAATGATCTATTTGTAGTTTGTACGACGGATGTTGTACTCGATATTGTAATCTCTCATCCCAAACTACATACTGTGATATTATTTTCATATTTTAGCTGATGTACCGTATATTTGCTATGTTTTGGCGATTCTTGTAACATGATGTAATTATTGTAACATCTTGTGTAAATATAAATAAAATAAATCTATTCTCTGTGAATATATTTTATATACATCTATTTTTTTAATTGCTACTTAAAAAATATTGCCACGTTGTTAAAGATTACGGAATATTTATAATAATGCATTGGTTTTAAATAGCACTCTTTTGGACACTCAAAGACGCATCAGATGGAATTGCAAACATGGCATGAATGAGTTAGCTTAGACCCATTAAATGCCCATTCCAGAATTCATTATATCTACCTGAATCATGAGTGGGTGCATACGATTATTTATTTCTTGAAAGCTGCCACTAAATGTTTTCACCTGTAGTACTTGGACTGTACCTGGTTTATTCTCTCTTCTTTGTTGTGTTCTATGCTTATGCCACTAGAGGGCGCAGTTACTTTTTATGGGACGTACTACCGTAGAAGCAGAAGTTTCAAATAATGCGTTGCTGATGCACAGTGGACTGGCTGCAAAACTGCTCTCCTGAATGGGCTTATTTACCTGAGAAGGTTGCTCTTTTAAATAATGTATGGATGTTTTTTTTGTTTTTTTTACATCTGTGATGACACCTATCTATCATGAATGTAAAGCTGGACTACCTAACTTTTTATTAAAGGACAACTCACCCTCAAATCCACTTTTTTTGCTGATAAACGGTATATGAGTCCAATAGTGTTGTCTACATATCCTGGTCATATTTTTTTCTTTCTGCCTAAAACCGTGTGTGAGGCGCCATCTGCTGGCGACCTGTATTACTAGGCAGCAAGACCTGACGTCAGCAGCCCCCCGCCCAGAGCTACATAAAAGGCCCAGTCTCGTTCACGTCCCCTTCAGTCCTCCAGGCTACGCCCATTTAGAGGAAGATTTGAACAGGAAATGTGAGTGACGTAAGCTCCGAGGAGCGGTGGTGAGAACCACTTTAAGATTAAGAGATCCTTTATTTGTCCCACAGTGGGTACATTTTGGTGTTGCATTGCATCACAGGTTATAGGACAGTAGGAAAGAGGAGCACACGTTAAGTGAAAAATAGCTATACTTAACAACATCTAATTCTAGCATCAATAAGTATAAAATCTCTATCTTAAAAATATAATAGATGTAAAAATTTAAAGTTGACAAAAATAAGAGGTAAGTATAAAGTACTGTGTAATCTAGTGCAAGTGTAGTTATATGTTAGCATCTGTACATTAGCAGCAGTATGTTTACATCTGTACATTAGCAGCAGTAGTATGTTTACAACTGTACATATATTTCATATATTTTTTTCCCAATAGAAAGAGTTGTTTAAATAACATTGAACAAATCAGACCACAATAGGCGTTCTTGCATGCGAACACCAATGATATATTCAAACTGTTTTGAGAGCTTGGAACTAGTTACATTGATTTAAAGAAAATATATATAAGTACTTCAACACAGTTCAGCAGCACATTACACATCATTGCGCAGAGCGCACGCACCTTAACTTTGGTTTATTCTAGGCCTGAATGATTCTGATTATTTGCCCAGAGACAAATGATAAAGCGCGCCTCTGCTTGGAATTGACAACAGGGGGCGCCAAAGTATCATAAAAACAAAAAATGAGCGATGATGACATAATTATTATTTTTTTCAAATGTTTTTTATTGTCATTTTAATTGTTTTTAGCGTATTAGTCTTGACAATGGCACTGCCTGAGCCTTGGTATGAGCGTTTACTTACTATTGTGAGCAATAGTTACCAACTTAATTGGGGATGAATAATTAGTAACAAAGTTATTTGATTCTTAAACATGGCTTTATATGGACAGAGAAGAATGGACATTCATTTTCATGGTATGTTTGGCAAGAATTAAACTTTCAAATTCAGAATCCCCTTGCAGACAATCAAAAGACGCAGTCCAATCTAACAGATGTATTATTTGTGAACCTGTTTAGCTCTGTCTGGGAAACTACAGCCTTTCTTGACACTTGAAGCTGTAATACAAGCTTCAGCATTCTTTTTAAGCAACGGAATGGATTTTTTTTTTAAAGCCAGACAAAAGACAATGAGACATGTGTATATCAGACGGGAACCTACAACCGTTGTTGGCTATTTCAACGGTTTTGTAATCCTCTGATATAACTACTGTTGTGATTTAGGGCTATTCAAAAATACATTGAATTGAATTGAACTGCACATTCACACTAAGAAAACTTTCTTTCTGTGAATGCCATTATACAACATTATGGTACATTACCTTCAACACAATACAACTACAATATTTGCACAGTTTCTGCTAATGATCACAATTGTATATTTATTGTTTCTTAAGCCGTTGAACAGAATGTGGCGCTGTATATTTATATGTATTAAAACAGGACTGGAGTTAGCAGATTGCAATATATTTTACAAAAAAAAAGAAAGTCAAGAAATGTCCTAATGTCAACCAGTGCATAGACATGTTTTCTAGATGTTATACGTTTGAATTTGACAACAAAAATTCTACTTTGGCCTCACAAAAAACACTGAAAACAAAAGTGACAACATCAGCAGAATAGAGAGGTTTTGAGCAGGAGGACTTCCACTGCGTACGATGGAATGGTAACAACGTCCAACATTTCCAACAAAATCTACAGCTACGATCTCCACCACTTGTGAACAGCAGGAGGCCCGGTACTGATACTGCTCTATGTCACCGGAGATGACCTGGGTGAGGTTCCCACTACCCTGCTGCAGGTTGACGTTCTCGATTCCGGTGCCGTTTCCATCTGTCAGGTTTGCCATGATCCCCCACACGGTGCCCTCACAATACGACACATCATGAGGACAGCTGTTGTCGATGCTGATAATCTCACACTTTGGTGGATAGAAGTCTGTAATCTGTAAGAAAAATATGGATTTTACAGTCTTACAGTCATATAGCTGATGACCCTGCTGTTCAGCCCTCTTTAACTCTACTCTCTCAGGTCTAAGGCCATAAGGCCAAACAATACTTGAATAGCTCATTTGCAAAAAAATGAAAACATTGTTGAAATGCTTACAATTTCCTCTTTACCAAGTAGTTTTATTTGAAAGGCCAGATATATTTTAGGGCCTGCAAATACAGTTTCATCCCTCCATCAAAACGGAGATAACTTTTCACTTATTGTGTATGGAACATCACTGTGCTCCTGTTCCCCCTAGAAAGGGCAAATAACTCCCAAATATATTATTTTTGTTTCCATTAATGCCTAAATTTGCTTGAATCTAACAATCAAGTCCATGGAAGACCTCAGGGTAAAATGTTTGGTGTTGCCACATTGGTTTGTAACATCCTTTCAAATAAAGACTAAACTAAATATAAACTTGATAAACTAGTAAAAGTCATGCTAAGCACTGTATAGTTGCATATTTTTGACCTCAAAAGAGCATGTGCTTGTGCAAAATGTTATCATATATGCACAGCTTGCCTCAAAAAACCTGTAGACCAAACCTGTAGACCAAACCAAGGCCAGCGGGCCAATTGCGGCCCTCTGTGTCATTCTCTGTGGCCCAATGTCTTTCCAACTATAAATCGTCTTTGAGATGATTAACACAAGGTCGCTGTTTTCATCCAGCCAACTCCAGCTCTACCAGTATATATAATAATGTGATTCATATTATACCTCATTGTAAAGCTCACAACCTCTGGAATTCAGCCATTGATTTCTGTATATACACATTAACATTTGATCTTCATTGTTAAGTCGGTTGACAATTCTGTTATGACACACATGTCGCTGGAGAGAGAATTTTTCATTCAGCCAACTCCAGCTCCATCATAGCTAATTATAAAGCCAAATCCAAGTAAAAGAGTAACCATCTGGGACAAGCCTCGTGAACTAAAGTGGGCCTCTTACTGAAAGGTTTGGACACCACTGCTGTGGAATCTTGTGACTATCACGATGGCATAAAACAAATAATATAAACATATTCTATCAATCCTCTATTAAATACAAAAAAAAATCTTTAAACTTGTGAAATGATTAAAGAATGAATGAGTAGCACAGACCATTATTCTACTCACACACTTTTTGCTATTTACCTTTTCAAGAACCGAGAGTCTCAGAACGACATAATTGGAGTCAGCGCCGCGCGAAGCATCCAGTGTCACGGTGACGTCTGTGCCGGAGAGGGTGCCAGCGGTGGGGGTTATGGTCAGTGTGGCATTGGTGTATTGTCCCGTTGTCAGAGTGAGCCTGCAGAAGGAACACACACACTTTATTGTCCACGTGCATGAAGGTAGACTGTTGATTATCGTTGCTTTATTTTACCTGGATGGATACGACATGGGGAAATTTCTGTCGTTTTGTGCGTTGATCACAAATTGGCCACTTGTACCGTTTGTAAATACACTAAAGGGCAGTGAGAATGGTTTGCCTGGCTCCATACTGCTGGACACGGTGGCCTAAAAGAAAAAAGAAAAATGTGTTTATGGTATAATACTACAGTTGTGCTTGACATTGTACACACCCAGCCAGATATGTAACTGTTTTGTCAGAATGAGAACTTCAGCAAAGAGCGAGTAAAGTGAGGGCGGTGTATGGTCAGAGAGTGTTTGGACCTGTATCTTGTCGTGTGTTGTGCTTATGTATGTGCATGAGTGTGTGTTTGTGTGTGCTGGGTTGAATGAGTACTGTAAGAGGGGATGGAGCCAAATAAGCCCCTGCTTCATCCAGCCTCTTTTTCAACCAACTTGTTTCTGTTAATCTTGTGCCTTGTTTTTCTTTTGTATCCTGATTATTGTTTATAGTTTCATTTGTGAAGAGTCATAGTTCTATTCATTTAATTTCACCATCTCTGCTGCTGTGACCTGAAGGGCTGTTGCTGATTATTACTATTGTTAGTTTTTTAGAACGATCAATTTCATATTTTATTTTGGCTGCTACTGCACACCTGAATTTCTCCTACAGGGGATTAAAAAGTATCAATCTATCTATCTCTGTCTATTTGCATGACATTTGAAATAAATTCTTACTACTACTACTAAAAAATATGAACCAACCTGAATGTTGACTTTAGAGACAGACATCTGAGTGGTGGACTGCCGCTGGAACTCTGTGTTTGAGACTGTATCCAAGCCTTTCACCAGAAGCACAAACTCCCCTCCAGGCACAACCGGGACTGAGGCCAAGAACCCTCCAGTCTCCATGTTGGAGATGGAAGCGTTGGTGGCACCAGAGCTGGACACTGAGATCATACTGACTTGCTTTATGGTCAGAGATTCTGGACCTTTTCTGCCCATTACAGAAAGCATCAAGGTGCCGGGCTGACCTGTGAAATGTAGGAGAGAGTCAATTCGTTGTCTATGATCACAGAAACTATCAAAGCTAAAAACTAAATGAATGAGTATTATTGAATTGAGCTAAGTTAGTGATGATTCTGATAAAATAATTGTTAGATGATCTATAGCATATGCAGATTCCCAAACATGTCAGGTCTGCAGGTGGACTCATGGACATTCCATAACTCACTGACCCCTGCCCTTTACGATCGTCACCTTATACTATTACGTGTACTTGCATATAGTAGTAATACAAAAAATAAGAACAAATTGTTGTGGGCCTCTCTACGTACTCTCTGGCACGTAACAAAAATTAAGATCTTTTTAATGTATAGCTTGTATCTATTAACTTGAGCCAAAGCTAATTCCTAGTGTGCTACTTACAATGGAAAAACAAATAATTCTGATTCTCTGACATAGATGCTGTGATTGCATAAACCTGACTTGTAAAAATGTAACAATCTTTAGTTGAAAACCCTCTTGCTTTTGTAAATATAGGCCATCCACACATCCACACAGAGGTAAAACGTCAGCGTATTTAGTCATTTGTGTATTGTCACTTTTACTATATGTTGCAGCCTGCCTTATGAGCAGTAAAGATGTAGATGTTTTTGTATCACGACTGCCGCATTTACCTTCTTGTGGGCGCCCGGTGATCACAGCGTATCCTGGATGAGGGCCTTCAAACTTTTCCACAAAGTCATATATGAAGGCAATGGTGCTCTGACCTGGCAACACAAACAGAGACTTGGCATTGTAATTCAGGCTGGGACATAATTTTACATATTTCCCCATAAAGGTTATCTTAAATAGAAATACCAGTAAAATGACACTGCTATTCCACAATTATACTACCAAAATATAATTGTTTTACAGTCATTGCAAATGTTTCCATGATACGCATATTTACCCGAATCACCCGCATAACACATAGTAACGCAATATTTGTGGATGACTGGATTTTCTGTGTTCCAATTGTTTAACTTTTTAATTTGTTGTTAGCGAATTGACAATTTTGAACTAGGCCCGTACAAAATACATTTAATGTAGTTTAACTGAACACAACTAACTTCAAATTGGCAAAGAAATATATTATTTTCTGGTTTGTGAAAAAAAAAAAATCTGGCATATATCAGATTGTTTTGTATCACGATGGACAGCCCTTTGTTCCAGTAGAGTAGAAGATAGAAAATACTCAAAAATACTTATATCCTTTATCGTACCCGTGACTTTGATGGTGTATGCGCTTCTGGGTGTGACGGTGATCTTCCAGGTTCCTGTGGCTCTGTCAGATTTCAGGGTACTGCGCCAAAGGTTTCCCACTTTTTTGATAGTCGCCAGGGCTCCACTGCTCTGGCTGCTGCTTTGTGTAACACCTGACAAAAAAGGTCATATTTGGAAATGTAACGACAGTAATGAAAGTTCTTGAGTTGAAGGTTGATACTTTTTTCTTTACAGATAATACATTGTGTTTGTCCCGATAGAAAAAGTCTTCAATCAGACCACAACATGCTGTCTTCAAGCCCCGTGAGGCACTACTAGACACTATTTTTCACTTTTCTGAAAAAGCTGATCTGCAGATGTGACCGAGGCAGAGGTAACCCCGCTGTAAGTTAGATTTGTTTTTTTTTTACAATTATAATTGACTTTTTCATCAAGTGTGAAATTGTTATTATTTATGTTTTATTTTAACTAAATTTCGAATGACCCACCCATGCTCAGCCCCGCAGCTTCCTGATTGGTCTAAATCATTTATATATTATCCTCCAGCAAACCTTAGTGGTTGTAGCTATGCCAAGGGGAGGGGCAATTTAAAATATAATATTGTCGAACTTAATGTACATAATAGTAGTGTGCATGGTCAAAAATATGCATTATTTAAACAATGAAATGAAATTTACCAAAATTACCAAAAACATCAATTAGCTGTATGTATTGTTGTCATGATTTGAATTGTGTTGGATTTGTGTTGTGTTAGATGGCTAAAATGTTGTAATTAAATTCAGATTCCCTTCCTTTTTAAATCGTGACATTTGCAATCGGTTTAAAATTTCAATGTTTTCACCTTCAGGATTTGTCAGTGTAAAACTAAGGGAGGTGCCAGTGATGTAGACGGTGATGTTCTTCAGGGATTCATCCAGATTGAAAGAGAACGACTCAGACTTTGCAGAGGTTCTGTCTTGTTGCAGGATTGTCACCTATAAAAGAAATTAGCAGGTAATCCGCCACAATGGTCATGAAGCCTTTTTTACAACATTCACACAAACAGCTCTATAAGTAACATATCAAGTACCCATATTTTGACTATACATTTGTATACATGAATGTACTCACATTCATGTATACAAATGCTATGATTTTTTTTTTAAATGTATGCTCTGTATCGTATACTTGTGGTTCCCAACCTTTTTGTCTTGAGTACCCTAGGGCATTTTATTTATACTACCTACAGTAGTACCTTGATGGTTTTGAAAGATTAGTTATAAAGTGAATAACTAGTCCTGTTCATTTATCACAAAAAATATCAATATTTGGTCGGATCGGCCATGATCGGTATCGGCAGGTCGAAATTTTAATGACCGGTGATCGGCCAAAAAATTCCTGATGGGTGCACCTCTAGTTTTATATACCTCCTTTTGGCAAAACCTTGACTAGTAATATTTGCTGGAGGAGTCTAGTTTGACCAATGGCAAAGATTTGAATTGATATCGTCCAGTGAAGAAGCTCTGAGAGAGAGAACAGTCTCAGACATTCACTTTAACCGTGAGTGAAAGTCCTCTGTCGATAATGGCAATCAATAAAAGTCGTTATCTATCAACCTTTAAAACTTTTGGCACAGCCCTACGCCATAATACACAGCTCATGATCATACCAGAGCAGATGTGGATGTGTCCAGGATGATGTCCGTGGCTTCTGGGAGCTGCCCTTTGGTCACTTGAATGGCCTGTCCCCCTGAAGCCAGAGCCAGCTCTTCGTAGTCGGTAAATGTGCCTCCTCGTGTTGAGCGCCGCCGTCTGCGCCCGCCTGTCATGAAGAAGTTCACCTGTGGAGGTTCAGTGCAGTGTTCAAAACCGCAACGGGAATTAAACATTCAAACTTTAGGCCTGTGTACATTGCTAATAATGTTTATATTGTCATCCATTATGTCCACACTAACATGTTTGTGTATCTGTCTGCGTTTGTTATTTGGTATTTACCGTGGACTTTGTTCTTCTGATGAGAGAAACAAGTGTGTCTTTGAGGTGTGCGTCTTTGGCTGTTGCATCAGTGAATACGTAGATATTTGAGTAGGAAGGGGCAGTTGTCAACGCCAGCTGCAAAACAACCAGTTTAATACAATACTGACACTTTCTCTTTTTTCTTTGATTTTTATTGTTTAATACCTGGATACCATTGTAGCACATCTCAGGTGTGTCACCGCCTCCTTGTGCACGAAGTTTTGAAATTTCTTTTTTCATGACATCAGGATCTGCTGTCTTAGTGACCGGTCCATAACCTATTCACAAAAAATATAAGTCATTAATGTAACGTTTGCCAACTGAATATTGCAAAAGTATGAAATAAAACTTCGTACTTGGGTCATTGAAAGGAACCAAAATGTACTCAGAAGGTTCATCCTGTGTTCCCTTTTTACTGTCAATAATTTCATAAACAACATTTCGGGCTTCATCAATATCATCAGACATGCTGCCAGTGGTGTCAATGACAAAACACACCACAGAGGAGCGAGCAATGCCCAGCATTCTAAAGAGACGAGGAAAAAAAAAAACAATAAAATTACTTTAATACTTTTATCATTAATATTAATAAGAATAATAATGTAATGTTTTATATAGCGCACAAAGCACAATTATTTTGCATATGTGGCCACAGCTGCCTGGGGGCACATTGAAAGAATCGAGGCAACCAGTACAATCTGCCCCTCCCACCACCACCAGCCATTCACGCTCACGCATTCTAGGCAAGGTGGGTGAAGTGTCTTGCCAAAGGAGACAACAACAGTTTGGCACTTTAAAGCCGCAGCCGCCCCACTGTGGCACCTGGTGTTCCCAGAGGTCTTCCATCACAGCACTAACCAGGCCCTGCCCTGCTTAGCTTCAGAGGCCTGACAGGATCGGTATTTGTAGTAGTAGTAGTGGTAGTATTTCTAGTATGTGGTAGTATTTTTTGACATTCTCTATTGTTCATGTAGAGATGTTATACTTGCTCATTAGTATGCTAAAGTTATAGATTTTGTTTTATTTTAGAGCAGAGTTATTGTTTATTTATCTTGGGTAAGTAAATTGGTGAAATTTGTGGGACGAATAAACGGTCTCTTATTTTATGACCGTTGAAAAAATTTTTGGAGTGAGTGAGTTTAACCTGAGGAAGTCGTTGTCCCCTGCAGCCAGCCGAATGTCCTGCAGCAGCTGGAGCGTGGCAGATGTGGCCACCTTCACGGCGGCGTCGTAGAAGACCTGGTTATCAGCGCGCCGCTCATCTTTGTGAATCCCGCCTCGAGGAACTTTTTGACTGGTCAGATCCGACGCACCGCCGTGACTGCATTTACCTGCGGTGGCGAAACGCAAAATTATATATACCACAATAAAAACAAATTCAGAAATAGCTTTTGTTGTATTTATGTTGATTTTGATGCAGTCTTTGCCAATAGCATAGGTTTTACTGCCATAAAACCACATTTCACACCTGTGAAAGCAAACCTTTCTAATTTCATGGGCAGTAGCCATTTTTTTCTCTTCCAGGTTCAGAATCAGAATCAGAATCATTTTTATTGCCACGTAAGTAACAAACAAAAGTTACTGTACCACTTGGAAATTGTTTTGGCAGAGAGTGTGCCACTTCGCCATTTGCGGCGCTGTTTAAGACAGTTGCTATCTGTCTTAAACATTTATATATTTGTGCTTGTCTGATTGGAATATAGTGTTTTAAAGCAGACAACATCCTCCAAAATCCACATACTTAACTTATATCAATCAGTTTGGACTTGATTGTGTCTTATTTTCAGGTTAGTAGTTTTGCGGTGGTACCGTTGGGTTTCGCATTGGAGAAGATTCCCATGTATCCGGACGTCAGCTTCCCCTGGGTCAGGATTTCGGAGAGGATCGGATTCCCACAAGCTCCTCCAGCACAGTCTCTGCAGGTGGCAGTGCCCACATCTGTCACAAAATATGGTGACAAATTAGCATTTTACTAGAACTTGTACTCTTGTTGTATTATTTACCCTATATGAAAACGCAGGGACTAATACATGCCCCATTTTTTTATTTACATCTTAACATCTGCTGCAATTTAATGTAAGCTTGTGTGTTATTATAATTCATTCTGTTTTATGTATACCTGATTATTATCGCTACTCGTTGTCATTCTGTATCTGCTGTTTTAAGTTATCCTTTAAATTCTCTGACGTTAAATTACAACAGTACACACCTGCAATGTTTTCTATAGGAAGATCTGGACGAATGAGGTTGAGATATGGCTCTTTATGACCCAGCTCCACCCAGTTACTGTGGCTGTAGAAATCCTACAAGGTCATAACACACGTCGACAAGGAAAAGAATCAAATCAACAAAATGAATGCCAAGTAATGCATGTGTCATTACTACTTCATTTCTTTGGAGTTGATCTTGCATTGCTTTTTGTACCATATATTTTTCAATGCATAGGGTAAGTTTATTCTTGTTTCTCGTCTTTTTACCTGTAGGACGTGAAGGACTTTGCCCAGAGTCTCCCTGGCCGCCTGGAAGTTCTCGTTACGAATATTGGCTTTGATGGCGACCACTCCCTCAGTGATCAGCCCCCTCCCCTCGAGGAACGCCTCCGAGTTGAAGTGATGTGGAGCACTGAAGGGGTATAACACAAATTAGTTTACATCTCATTAAACAGACCTGTGCATTTATTTTCCCTAAAGTTAACCAGACTTGGGTTGGTTAAAGTAAACCAGACCAACATGTGTGATCGCACCCCTTTAAAGCTATTTTAAAGGTGGCCTGAGAGGGGAAACAGTAATGAATCTTACTGCACAAGAAAATTGAAAGCTAACGTGTCACTGCTAAAAGTATATTTACAGTATTTTAAGTAAGTAATTTGTTTATGTAGCACAGACCCGAGTCACAAAGTGCTTTACAATCGTTTATTTTTTTATTTTTTTCATTTGTCTCTCACTCCAGAGATGGGAGCGAGGTCGCTATACAGGTGCATGCCAGACCTATTATACGTGTTTTAATTGGAAGGGGAAACCGGAGCATCAGGAGGAAACCGACTCAGACACGGGGAGAAAATGCAAAAGCCACACAGAAAGGCCCTGTTCCGACCGGGATTCCAAACCATTTTGAGCTAGTTTCACAACTCAGAATAAATTAAGTAAGTCTGCTAAACCAGGCTTAAATCCATGATAAGACCCAGGTTTTATATCCCCAGGATGTAGCGTCAGAACTAACTAAGGTAAATATCCAATATGGTTATATAAGATAGCAATGTCTTACCTATTGATAAAGTCTCGATCAATTAATCCATTCTGCATGTAAATTTCCTGGAGAGCTGAGTGAAACTTGGCCCCAGAGACGTCACCGGTGGCAGTTGGACCCAGACACGCCTGTACGATCTCTTCAGGAGAGTTACCCTGGATACCACACAAACAAGTCGTTTTTTATACAAACAAAAGGAGAACATTCACAGATCAGGAGAATATTCATATTAGATGTATTGTCAAGTATTGCCTCTACTTGATTTGTCTTATCTCATTAGAGTGCCTTGCTGTAATTATGTTTTATTTTCAAAATGATATATATTTTGTTCATATATTGCGCACCTCAAAACTCACAAAATGTGTTTCAGTGATAAATGTGCGAACAATGTCAGGAATTATTATTGTTAGAAGTGTTATGTTTATGTGCTTTAGCTTTCTTGTCTTTCTTGAAGTTTGATTTAAATGATACATGATGGCCTTGGACCTAATCGCACATTTACAGATGACATCACACAGCAGCAGAGGGAGGAGCTGTGTGAAAAGAAGTGCAAAAGGTGACCAGAATGTCAGTATATGTTTGCACAATCTCAACGCAAACACTCAAATCCAGGGCTGTTAACCATGTCTGAGTGAATTCAGGTACATATTCTGTTCAAACCCATCAAGTAATCTATGTAACTAAGGAAGTAAGTAAGTAATGGGGATTCATATACTGCCTTTCACAGACCTGAGTCACAAAGCGGTTTACAATTCTGGGCATTTGTCCTCTCACTCCACACAGAGATGGGAGCGAGGTCGCCAGTACAGGAGGCGCATGCCAGACCTATTGTACATGTTTTTAAGTGGTAGGGGAAACCGGAGCACCCGGAGGAAACCTATGCTGACATGCTATCCACTCAGCCACCGTGCCGCCCATCAGACAATGTTTTGATCCCCCTGTTGTTATGTAGTATCATACCGTTGGTTCGAACACATAACCGTTGTCGTCTGCCACCGCTTTGCACGTCTCCCTGACTTTCTGCAACATGGCCGTCCCAGTGATGGAGACATGGGTGGAGCCTCCGCCCCCGATCGGGACAAAGGCCAGGGCTGGTCCCAGGAGAGCCGCAGCCACCACAGCCAGGCCCAGCATGGACATCATTACTAATCTAGAGAAAGAGAGATACAGAGGGAAGGTGTCTGATAAGAGTTGTATAAAGGTAGTTAGAAGTCAAGTAAAATCAATATGGAATAACATTGACACATATGAACGTAGTGGCCACTTCAACAATCATATTTTATAGTCATAACAAAATGAACACCTGAGCAGAGATTGGAAAGTTCAAAGAATGAGAGACAAAGCTACACAAGATTATTCATATTGAGACTACGTTTTTTCAGACAAGGGTAAATTTATGTATACAGTTATCATTAAAGTGGACGTTTCATATTTTGAAAAGTTGACTTTATCACTTTTAACAAAAATAGTAATAAATATGCCAGAAATTAGAAAATAAAAAATTAAACGTAGAACTATCAGTTTAAATATTTAACTTAAAAGGAAAGTTATAGCTTGATTAAAATATATTTGAGCTATGGGTAAAACAGGGCCCACTTGATGTGATTTTGAGAGCAGGTCATTTTGAATATTTCTAAATCTTAGTTTGTCAACAAATGATAGTAACATAAATAAATTGTTAAGAATTGTTACTTATCTTATTTAATAATGAGCGTACCTTTGGGTCCTTCCGCTGCTGTAACCCCAGACGGAGGCTGTACGAGCCTTATAAACCCTCTCCTACAGAGGACTTTGTAACTGACCAAGGCGGGGCCTTCAAAGAAACATAAAATTCAGATATTTCTTAGGGTGGGGTTGGGTACTTTGTGTCGAGTCATATTGCATGCTTTCAGGGTGGCTTTAAGTCTCCAAGTCTAAAGGTTGTTCATGCAATACATACTGTATATGTCGATATGTTATGACCCACCCTACATGATGTATTACTTCTCTCTCTTTGCGAGAGAAGTAATACATGAAGTATGTGCTAGCAGGGCCATTGATGGCCATTGATGGCCCTGCTATCACATACTTGACTTGATACATTGGGATATCACGATGTTAGAGGGCTGGCCTGTTTTCACGCAGTTACCATTTAAAATAATTTGCCAAAAAAAATTATATTAAAAACTAACGTTTAAAATGTATTGGTTTATGAAATAAAAAAATACATTTGTAATGAGTAATAAATATTAGTAACTGTTTACCTTATGATAATCATGACGTTGCTGCCCTTTGTTTAGGATTACATTCCATTTCTTCCCACTACAGACCGAATTCTTGTCAGGACATAGACATTGTTTTGTTTTGCACTTTTGTATTCATGCTGGACCTGCAGTGAAGTGAACTCAAACACAATAACTAACTATCACATGATCAGGAGGCAATGTTGTTTTCAACTCTGTCAGAGAGAGGAGAGGACAAGTGGGGATCCATGCAACTCAGCTGGCTCTGAGAGGCGGCCGGATAGAAGCCTGCAACAGGGCCATATGTGGCCCGGGGGCCTCACATTGCCCAGGTCGCTCTGTCAGGTCTATCAAATATGAAGTTTGATATTATTCAAGAAAGTATTGAGCAAACCGTAGAGCTTTGTTTCTCAGCATTTCTTTTTCCTCACGGCCATATATGGAGATAAAAAAGTTTCCTCAAAAGAACAATGGGAGAGGATACCATTGTTCAGGACATTTACGACTGCGGACATGTGTGCCGCTCACAGCGACGAGGCCTTTTTTCCGCTTTTAATATATCAATGGTATATTTTTCAACATAACATCCTGCATTATATATAGTGCATAAACTATATACATTGCAGGATTTATTAGGTGTCCAGGAACTGTCTATTTACTAGTTTTTTGTACAGAATTAACAACAATAAACAGCAATTAACCAACACCTATAAACAGTATTGATGACTGATTAAAATGGTATTGTGTCACTTGAGTCCCATCTGTTTGTTAAATGCACTGAAGTTGTCTTGCATCCCCTTTTTGGCCTATTTAGTCATGTGCAGTGGAAGGAGGGGCCACAGAACTGGAGAGACTGGAGTGAACGCAGGTTAAAACAAGACAAGTATTTGAAAAAGCAACATATCTTCATGCCTATTCTGCCAAGTCAACAAGGTTAGTCTAACTTCTCAATTACATTCATGAAGTTCAATACTTTGCCTATGGTATGTTTGAGACTTGATTCTGCCTTTGGGTTGGTGTTAAACATGTCTGTTCTTGTATATATTTGGAATCCACACAATGATAGCCTTCTGTTCTAAGTTACATCATGTCCAAACAATGGGGCTTCCAATCGCCACAATAAAATACAACATCCAACTGTATTGTCCTTAAAACATTATCCGGAAAATGAGCAATATTTTTGTTCAGAAAAATTATTTCAAGCTTTTATTTGTTATGGATTTATTTTCACTTTCCTAAATAGTGATTTTAAATGTATTTTTAGTATTTTCTGTATTATACTCTCAACTCATTGACTGCCAGCCGTTTTTGATGATTTCACTGATTCTCAAGACCCACAGAATATTATTTCCTAAGACTATGTGAAATATGAAACCAGATTCTGAAAGACTGGATTGTCTACTTTGATCAGCAAAAATAAGTTTGTTTCTAGCTGTTTTTATTGTCCTGTAATCCCCAGTCGAATATAGGGTCTCAGACAAATATGTCAATGGCAGTCAATGAGTTAGAAGGGATACAGTGAAGGCAATATTGATTTGTCGGAATATCTAAAAGATCCAAAATCTGATTTGAGCAATGCAAGAGAGTGGACCAAAAACAATGTGGAAATTGTGTAGTATTTATTAAAGAGCTCTCTATGGACCACGCCAACTCGGCATGTGTTTTGACATGCCGTGGTGTCCGCAGGGCATGGCTACGGTCAATGTTTCATTAAAGGACTTTTAATCAAATGTTTAATCTAATCTAATGAGTCGCAACTACTATTGATCTCTGCAGAGTCTTCTTGCTGAGTTCACCACAGGCTTACTGTTTACAAGACATTGTTTTTTTTCCTTGCGTGCTGAAAGTTATTGAAAGTTATGCTTTTGTGGACTGTTCACAGATGGGTTTGTGTTTGATGTGAGATCATAGGATTGTAATGTGAATTCACAGTCATTGTTTTCATGTGGAGGTGTTAAACTGACCTCATCTCCCCAGCATTTTGTTACCTATGAAACTGCTTGATAAATGGCAAGGCTATAGTGAGAAAAACATTAGCATCTTACATAACATATAATTATTTGTTAATTGTATCGTATAATACTAAAAATGAATGGCGCATTGGGGTTTAATGATGTTAATGATACTGTAGATGGAGAATATTTTGTCACTGACCCACCCGCCGCCTCAGATCCATGGACTCCAACCTCCTCACCCCCTTCAGGACTAAACACAGAACCTTTGGGGACAGAGCCATCACCGCAGCTGCTCCCACTGTCCGGAACTCACTCCCACTATACCATTAGAAACTACAGATATTTAATTCACCTGTTTCACCTCGCCTTTCCTTCATTTTGTATTGTTCAATGCTTAGTTTTATGTGTTTTGTAAAGCATCTGTGTTCAAAAAGGCGCTTTATACGTTTGATGTATTATTAATATAGTGCCAAAGCCAATGTCATATTAAGCAAGTTCATCAACATCTATTGTAAGTTAATGTGAAGAAGTGATGATCCAGCATCGTCATTAAAATGTTATTGGCAAAGCGGAACTTGCCATAGCCTGCAGAGATGACACAGTGCTGAGCAAATGTTTGTGGCATACAGTCATTTCATTTAAACTCTGCATTTAATGGTAACATTTGGCTTTAGATAACAGATTACTGGTTGAATAAAACACACTCTCTGAAGATTTTCTTTCACGCTGCATTAGTATATCACTCTTAAACAATGTAACGTACACAAAGTTCGGATTGGTGTCATTGTTTCCGTTTGTAGGAAACATGTTTTTTAATGTTCATAGCAAACATGCCAGCACCTGCGTTGGCATCGGTCCGAATACATACCAGATCTTTGTCTGTAAGTCTGAAACAGGAATGAAGATGAGAAGATAACATCGTGTGAACAAGTGCAGGATCCCTGACAGGGTTGTAAATCAGTGTCAGCATAGTAGGCCTAAATGTAAAATGCTAAAGTTTCAGAAACGCCCTAGTGCTACATCAGTTAATATCCACTGTAGACCACAAACTCAAGTATTAGAGAAAATTGGAAACAGATGAAATAAGGACAAATAGAAATGAGCTGTCTATAATTTGGGGAATTTCTTTTTATATGTATGTTTGTCTTTGAGCTTAATGTTGCTGTGCACTGCCCCTCTCAGATAAAGACTACACTAACTAAATAGCTCCCCCTTTACACTGGAGCTATTGATGTATTGTGTGAATGCAGATTTTCTTTAAATTGCACACACAAAATATGTTTTAGTTTTGCATCTGGGTTGATATGTATACCCCTTAATGAATCATTTAGGATTTAGAAATTACTTTTTTTTCAATTACACAAAAAGGTCAAAATAGTAAATCAATGAAATACGATTGCATTTCATGGTCTATTATGCACTCTAAGGAATACAGTGTGGGGTTTAATTGATAAAGATAGGTAACAATAAGCAACAGTTATCCCTTAAAAAAGCAGTATGTAAAAAAAATCTGGCCAAAAGTGGTACTGCACTCTCCCTGACTCAGGTTGCCAGATATGCAGACGAATCCAGCTGGGACCATAATATCTGATTATAGAGTTTTGTCGACAGCAAATCTAAAACAAACACCTTTTTCACAAAGATAAAAATCCTGGTTTCATTCCATGTTTTTTCATTAGTGATATGAGAATTATAACCTCTGTTAGTTCTGCGGCCACATTTTACTTAACCAGTGAGATTAGCTCGACGCGGTGAGTTCTGGCAACCCGGATCACAGACTTTCTGATTGGTAAAACGGTGGAGGGCGGGACATCGAAATGAAAACAATAACAAGATTTAGGGGCTGTAAAACTAATTTTGAAATCCAAATATCTCGGCTGAAGAGCATGTTTTATTAATGTCTTTTGACAGATTAGGGCCATTTAATGATGACTTGACATGAAAATCTTACATATTGCTACTTTAACTCAGTCATGTTGGGTTTAAATCCCCCCGGGCCGCACTTTGCCCAGGTCTGACTCAGTGTTTCGCTCCTCCCACTTTGAGAGCCACTTCATCAAAAGCCTGTAGAGTCCTGATGTCCTGTCAAGACATCCACATAATGCATTTTGTTTGTTCCAGATTCCCCATGTCCAACCTCACAGCGGCCCCGGGGAAGGTCCTGGCCTGCCCCCTGCTCCAGCTCATGATAGACCACAACCTCAACAACAACACCAGAGCTAACATAGTCCTGGTGTGCATCCATGGCATGGTCTCTTGTTTGGGAATCCTGGAGAACGCGCTCATCATTTGGGTGGTGGGCTTCCGTCTACAGCGCCGAACTGTCGCCTCCGTGTGGGTGCTCAACTTGGCCATTTCTGACTTTTTGGCAACCCTGACCTTGCCCCTTTTTACTTATTATCTTTCCTCCAATCACAGCTGGGAACTAGGTCAACCGCTTTGTAAAATTCAAGCCTCAATTTTCTTCCTAAACATGTTCGTTTCAGCGTTTCTGTTAGCTGCGATTTCCTTGGATCGCTGCCTTTTAGTGGCCAAACCTGTTTGGAGCCAAAATCACCGCTCAGTCATTGGCGCATGGAAAGTGTGTATTATAGGCTGGCTGTGGGCTGTGATCAACACTTTCCCATACTTTCTATTTCGCTCCGTTACTCAGAAAAAGGATTACCGGAAATTGTGCTATCATAACTTCGCCATGTATCTGAGCTCTCCAGACCAGCTTGAACGCCACTGTAGGATACGACAAGAATCCACAGCCATCTCCAAATTCTTATTAGCTTTCCTCATCCCACTAGTGGTTATCGCAGGGAGTTACATCAAAATAGCCCTGACTCTGAGAAGAAGAAGACAGCGGCGGAGGGAAAGTGCCAGTCGACTTGCCAATACGTTGATTGTCCAAAGCTGCGAGACTCCTTCATCAACAAGAGCTAACAAATTTCTTAGGCCGTTTAATCGATCCCCCTCTCTGACACCAATCACTCCCTCGCCAACCGGATTGGCCAGTCAAAACCTGCTCTCTCAAAGCTTCACCAAAATGGTAACGTTCGTCATAGCAGTTTTTGTGCTTTGTTGGTCTCCATACCACATTTTCTGCGTTATTGAAGTGGCTGCAGAATACTGGAGAGACAATTCAGACTTTGTTCAAATTGGTCTGCCTCTAGCCACGACCTTTTCCTTTTTGAATCCAGTCTTGAACCCCATTCTCTACGCCTTCAGCTGTCCGAATTTCTGCGTGCGGATACGACAGAGTTTGACAGCGGTTTTTGAGGGGTTGGTTGAGGAGGGAGGCGGGATACTGCTTGTGCCGGGGAAAAGTTTGAGAGCTCACATCCAGAGGAAAAACAGCGAAGTACAAACGCAGAGATATCAGCAGTCCCAGAGTCAGTCAACAGAAAACCAGTCTCCAGTCAAGAGTAACTTTAATCCCAATGTACTCGCAGAGGAGCAGGTGGAAGAGGAAAGAGCAACTGGAAAACTGGAAAAATAAATGTTGTTTTTTGTTTGTACATTCAAAACCTTTTTGAGAATAAATATTATGTTAAAGAAATTTGTATTGCTGTTTATTATATTGTTTTGTGTGTGTGGGTGCATGTGTCTATGTGCAATTCTGTTTCTGTACGTATTCACATTTTTGGATTATGTTGGTGTATTTTTCGTATCATTTATTTTCTACTTTTTTACAGATTTTTTTTTTTTTTTACGACTTTAGTATATTTAAGTGAATAATTTATATTCCTTAAGGGCACATCAGAGTTTAAAAAGTAATACAATAACTAAAATCTGATCCTAAGACTTTAAAGAATGAGTATGCTTAGCATGGCATGTGGTTGCACTGCCGTTTGGAGCCAGCAGAGGTCGCTTTTGCACTAATTCCTCAACATGCTGGATTTGATGAGGTTTTTAAGGTCCTGTAATCCGGATGCTTTTCCCATGGAGCAGTTTGGACCTGGGCATCTCTCACTGATTGGATTGAATCACATTTATTGACTGGTTCATGTTTGTCCCATAGACTAAAAAAAGATGGAAACCTGAAGTGTAAAGTAGGTCACATCCTAAAGGCAGGATTACCGCTGTGCAGAGGTAGTTATTATTTAGAGGGAATATTAGAAAGAGAATATACAAACTGAGTGGGATTAAAACTGCAGACAAATTTCATCTTTGCACTCTCATTTAGTTATGAGTTGGATTAACCCTGTTTTTGGATTTCTCCACATTCAACAACACACCTTGAATTACTCCCAAAGTGACCACAAAAATGTATTTTATAGTCTCCTCAAAGATAGTGTTTCTTTTATAGCTCGCATGGTTTGTAAAATAAAGGGGAATTACTGCCCTTTATAAAGTCACTTTACTGTCGTCACCGCACTGCTTTATGTAGATTGTGTGCACCGAGTGCACTTGTATATAGTAATAGTTGTAATAATTTTAGTTTTTAATTGTTTATATTTTAGAAAATACTCTAGAAATGTTTTATTAGGCCATATTCTTTCTCTACTTTTGACTTGTTTGCACCAAGAGCCAAAGCAATTTCCTAGTCTGTGACTTCCTCTTACTTCCATGGTAATAAAAATGATTCTGATTCTGGCAAAAAATACCTTCTATGCTTTCAATTATATATGAATAGTTTTTTCCTCATCTTTGAACAAAGTTCAGGACCACTTTTTCCCTTACACTGCAAAAAAAGATAAAATATGAGATAATAATTATTGGTTGTTTTTATGTTTTTTTGTTATTTTATTAATTGTAGTACATTCTGGCTGTCTTAAAACAAGATTTGACTTTTCTCATTCCAAGGGATAGAATTTTTTTATTTGTTTTATTTTACTTTTCACTTTGTAAACAATGAAAACTATTAGTTTATTGAATTGTGTTGTCCCTGCTGCTATAGACTTGGACTTTGTTTAAATCTGCAGCTAAAAGTGAAAGCAAAATTATGTGCATGTGTTTTATTTGAACACCTCCATTTTGACTAAAACTTGGCTGTTTGCCATTCTGACAGAAGTCCAGAATATGCATGTTTAGTATAGAGATTAAAAATGGCTTGATTGGTTTAACTAAAACCCATAATAACACGTGTTACTTTAGGCAGCATCCTTGTCCGTTACATTTCAACAGGTGATGAGGAGTCATGAAAGCATTCATCCGATGAGCACAATATGAAAACTATTTTACTGTACTCAGATCAACATATATTTACACAATCAACATGTTTTCACAGCTGCTTTCCATGCAGTATACAGACATTAAAATCATCACGTATCAAAGAGAATTCAAAAACATGTTTGTGGTTGCTCAACTCATCGCAGAAACAAAAACACACATTTGCTCATTACTTTCTCAAAATAATGAAATGAAAGTCTTACGTTTGAGATAGAATCCACTGGGACGTGTTGTTGGATTTTGAAGTCTAACCTGTTACATCAGAATGCCCCTGTTCCCGCACGCTGATTCAATGCACTTCCTTGTTTCGGAGTCCTCTCTGTTTTGGTGCTTTCACTCTGTCAAAGGAAGTGGAGGGTGGTCTGGAATCTCCCCACTTACAAAAAATCCCATGGGCCAAAATCACAGACATCAAAAACATAAATAATCGCTTGATAATTTAAGTTTATTTCACATAGAGAAATTACAACGCTCCACAGCTAAACAGAACTGTTTTAACCTGGATTTGTCTTCTTCTTATTTTTTTATTTATATACCGCCTTTCACAGACCAGAGTCACAAAGCGGTTTACAATTGTTATTTTTGGGCACTTGTCCTCTCACTCCACACAGAGATGGGAGCGGGGTCGCCGAACAGGAGGCGCATGCCAGACCTATTGTACAGGTTTTTAGTGGTAGGAGAAACCAGAGTACCCGGAGGAAACCTACGCAGACACGGGAACATGCAAACTCCACTCAGAAAGGCCCTGGTCCGACCAGGATTCAAACCCAGGACCTTCTTGCTGAGAGGCGAGAGTGCTATCCACTCAGCCACCTTGCCGCCCATGCCGATTTGGACACTGTCCAGGTAAAAGAATGTCTCAAATTTAATGAAGAAGTTTTAGCCGCACATTAGGGTTTGGGGTTTTGTTAATTTGAATCTGGAGAATTTGTTAACAGAACCTCTTTGCTTTAAAAATGGGCAAAACCTTAGCTTTAAAGTGGCATTCCCAGCTGCTCTGATGGGGTCTGCTTCTTTCCAGTTGCTAATTGTTGAAAATTCGCTCAGTATAGTTTAAAAACTGTGCATTCTTAAATCATGACTGATTTATGTGTCTCTCCACAGATATAACTTGCAATTTAGCTCGTTGTAGTAACATGTATGTTTCTAATGTATATGGGAAGTTCAATGCCATACTCAATTAAAAACCTTACCACCCTGGAGGGAGGTACCCTGAAAGCGTACCTCCCTCCAGAACGGTTGTGGAATGCACCTTTATAGCTGGGGTTTTCTCGCTTAGCAACAGTTCTATCACTAGCTTTCCCTTATATGGTAATAACCTGGAGCTGAACGCCCAGAAGACAGTGGAGTTGATTGTGGATTTCAGGAAGAGCACAGTCCCCCCGCCCCCATCACATATGTCACCCAGGACTGTCACTCCCGTATTCGTCCCGGAAACCGGATTCGTCTGGAAGTTCAGTTTGATCCAATGAGCATACGCAGCAGTAGATTACGTCACGGAATCTGGACAGAAGCGGAAGTAAATATAAAAAACTACCTATTCATGCCTAAACTTAACCAGCCATTCCCATAAAATAACCCCAACCCAGCCTTAACCCTAATCTTACTCAGACGCCTAAACTTAACCAGTCACCACTTAAGGACATATTAAACTTTTTGACATGCGCCAACTGAACTTCCGGACGAATCCGGTTTCCGGGACGAATACGGGAGTGACAAGGACCTCAAGTGGAGGTCCTGGGTGACAGCCCAGCAGAGGATGTACTTCCTGCGGCAGCTCAGGAAAGTCAAGCTGCCTGCACAGATGTTGGTGCAGTTCTACACGGCCATCATTTAGTCCATCCTCACCTCCTCCATCACCGTGTGGTTCGCTGGAGCCACAGTCAGGGACAAACAGAGACTACAGCGCATTGTGCGCTCTGCAGAGGAAGTGATCGGCCGCAGCCTTCCATCGCTGCAGGACCTGTACGATGCCGAGCTCAAGGCCGGGCTTGTCGTGTCACAGCCGACCCCTCTCACCTGTCACATGGACTGTTCCAACCCGTCCCCTCAGGCAGGAGACTCTCATGAACTCATGTCATGGACTCATGAACCCTTCATAACCTTGCCCCCCGCCCTTTATAAAGACACTTTACTGCCATTTGTAAAGTCACTTTACTGCCATTTATTAAGCAACTTTACTGCCGTCCCCTTACAGCACTGCTTAATGTACAGTATATTGTAGATTGTGTGCACCGAAAGCACTTTTTAATTTTTTGTATTTTAGAAAATTTTATACTTTAGAAATGTTTTATTATGCCTTATTCTTTCTCTACTTTTGACTTATTTGCACCAAGAGCCAAAACAAATTCCTAGTCTATGACTTTCTGTTACTGACATGGCATTAAAAATGATTCTGATTCTCATATCTCATATCTTTGTTTTTATTCTGAAGACCTCTTCCACGTCTTTAGATCTTTTGTATGGATGGTCTAGTCTTTTCCAGATCCAACCATTTTCTTGCCCTTTTTTCCATTTCTGCCATGGTGTGGATTTTATTTTTGTATTTTTGTTTGATTTTGAAATTGGTTTCCTGTAGTTTGGTTTTCGTTGCTTCCTATGGAAGCCCGTTTCCGCCATGTAAAAAAAAAAAAAAGCCTACAGAAAGTCAAAAAATTACGAGGTTAAAACTCATAATTTCGACTTTAAAAGTCAAAATTTCGACTTTAAAAGTCAAAATTACGAGTTTTCAACTGCGCATGTGCAGTTGAAAACTCGTATGTGTTGTTGTCTGGAACGGTCTCTGGTCATCCCTGTTATAGATCCATGACCATGGGTCATCCTCTACCTGCAGATTATGTGGAGATTTTGCCTACAGACAGTGACTACATCCATGAAGTAGCAGCAATAATGTTGTGGTAGTAATCGCGTTAAAATGCAAACGGTCTCTCCGTTTATGATTAGAATCCGCTTCAAAAGCCTCTATTTAGTTTATCCTAGACGGACTGTGGAAGATTAATAATAAAACACATGCGGCTGTTCAAAGTCATTGAGCATCAACTGGTGACATCTGGTCAGTATCATTGCTATCGATGGATGCACCAGAAATGCAGTGAATGATATTGTGACTGACAGAAAGACCGTTCGCGATTACAGGACAGTGAGGGAGGTCCGCAGACAGAGGCAGGAGAACCACAGTCACGGGCACTGACAATATTACCATTTTGGAATTGTGATCAGTGCATTGAAGAGTATGTGACGTGTTTGCGTGCACGCGGGGGTGAGCTGATGGAGCGAGCATGTGGGTAAAGTTGTTGGCGTATGAGCAAGAACACAGAGACATGTAGG